AAAAATGTTGCTAAACTCGTTTTCTATTGATTTGATCAGAAAAGGAAAGTAAAGCAATGTTCTTTCTTTGTGTATATTACTATTAGATACGTTGATTTGGTTAAAACTTAGAAACAAAAAGAGTGTTTTTTTTCCTTGACAAACAATGGCACAGAATGACCATATCAACGGGCAGAACAACAAGGGTGATAGGATGGTACCACTCCCATCCTCATATCACTGTACTTCCTTCCCATGTTGGTATGTATACTATCAAGTTACGACTTTTTTTCTATCTAGCAACTTTTCAGTGAGGGTTGAGTAGCATAGCTATGTCCTGTTTTTGCTGGCAGATGTTCGGACACAAGCAATGTATCAGCTTTTGGATACTGGCTTCATTGGCCTCATCTTTTCTTGTTTCAGTGAAGATGCAAGCAAGGTTAGTCTTGTATCTATAATCATTTTATTGGAAAAAAAAGGAAACTTTGCAAGAAAAGTTCTTCTCACTTGTTGGATGAATTGGATGTATAGGTTGGAAGAATCCAAGTTATCGCGTTCCAGTCCTCTGATGGAAAGCCCAATACTCCTCCTAAACCATTGAGCCTGCGACTTGCAAATAAAGATTCTGTCGTCGATTTAGAATCCTCATTAAGTTCTTCAGACTCGATATTCCAGAGTTCCTCTTCTGCTCGGGGAGACAATCCTGAGCAAGACACTAGTGATACAGCTACCACTTCTGGCATTAAGGTCTGAAGCTCTATAGTTCTCTATGTTCAGCCGAGTTTAGTGAAAGTTGTCAAATGTTAATTTATATATATATGCACATTGATGTTTGAGCCTTGTATGTGTGTTAGGGTGGAGGACGAGTTTCAGATTTTGGGGATTTCTTTGTAAACAATGCTGAAGCCAACACCATGGGGAGAGATGTGACAAGTGGAAGCTACAGCTCAGGCAATCTCAGCAGCTCAGTTGTGGGAATTGATCCAATGGACATGTCTGAAAGCATGCAAGAGGCTATGCTTCGTTCAAATATGGAAACCAGGTACTTGTTCTCAGCATCCGCATTTGGGGCTTATGAACAACATTGCTCCATTCACTAATCCAAAACTTGTTTAACGTGCAGCGGTGTAGGGTATGTTAGAAAAGAAGTCCCGCTCCATGTTTTGCCGACTTCAACCCTTGTTCAGCTCAATTCACCTTTAGCATCTTTTAAGGATCTGCAAAGAGTACTCTACGAGGAGGAACGAGCAGCGTACCACCAATCTCTCCTGCAAAACACCAGGTTTTCGACTCTCTCAAGTCTTTTTATACATCATAGAGAGTTGGTGCAAAAAGCTCATTATGTTTCTTCTTTAGAGCCGGGAAAGTACATCCTCTTGCTTTCATTCACAACACATCGACATATCAGGCTTCCATGTGCAAGCTGATTGAATACTGGTTAGTCAAGCGTGTACAAACATTTGAATACACGAGGTTTTTCTCATTTGTTGCGTTTTTACATAGGTAGGCTTCATTTTTTTTTTCTTTTTTTTTGCAGCTTGAGTCCCGCCATTAACGCACTTCAAGATAGGGTGAAGGAAAACAAGATCCGGGTATGATTCTCCCCTCGTAATCACTCTCACTCTCATGGATGTTGTGTTTGTGTTTGGTTTTGAAACATATCGTCTTGTGTGTTGAGTAGTTAGCAATGCTGATGGAAGAAGCCGAGGCTCTGGAGGCACAGAAACTTAAAGGTTCAGCAGAGACGAGCGGAGTAGCACCTCGTCTGGCTCACGGCTCTGGCAGCCGAAGCAGAAGAGGATCCTCCTAGTACCACTGATAGTAAAATTGATATTTCCAAAAATGCCACTACCATTACAACTGATATTTCCAAAACTACCACAAACTGAATTTTCCAAAAACACCACTAAAACTGATATTTCCAAAATTACCACTAATACGAAAACTGAATTATCCAAAAATACCACTAAAATTCGTTTGACAATTCGAAGTTATAATACGGACTATCTAAAGCAACATATTTGAATTGCTTTACTTCATTCGTTTGACAAAATGTGGTTAAACCTGAAGAGAAAATGAAGAGCAAAAACTGATCTTCATGCATTTGGCAAAACCCAAAAAGTCAAAATTTGCATTACACACACAAAAAAAGAGAGGGAACAAAGTTGTAGCTTTAGCAAACTGAGATTCCTTCTTACAAATCTGATGGATCCTTAACAAACTGAGTTACATCAGATACCAAACTATGATGCACAGGCTTCAAACCTTTTCTCAACCAACGTTTCAACAAGGCCAGCTCTAATCTTCTCACCTGCAATCAAGTAAAACAACTCCATTTAGCTATACTACACACACGTTTCAGGCAATTCGAAGTTCTAAATATCCATTCTGTGAATCGAAGTGTAGTGTAAAGCAAGGGGAGACAAAAACGAACCTGTCTAACAATGAAAGGCTCCTCAGCTCGACTCAAAGGCTCGGTTAATACGGTTAAAAATCCATTTCTGTTCCCGTAAACGATATCTGTGAAGGGTCGATCACCCACCTGCCCCAAAACACACAACACATAAACATCTCATCTACCAAGAATCAAATTCCAGTTTCACCCCTAAACATTTCATTATAACTAAGTTACCATGATTAGCTCCGAAGATGTGCAACCAAAGTGTTTCTCAACTTCTTCAGCCGTTCCTGCAGGCTTCTTTACTCCTATAATCATGAATCAAAAACAGCCTTTATCAGTTACAATGCTCTAAACCAAGAGAATAAAACAGAGTCATTAGTAGATAGATCAAGGAACTTACTGTGTCTCAACACTCTAATCCCTATTTCAGCTTCCAATGCTTTAGCTTTCGAATCATCATGATCATATTCCGTAAGCCCTAGTTTTTCACCAAAAAGTTAGCTTCTTCAATCAACCAGAAAATTACAACCAACCAAACACAGAAAAACTCAAACTTTATCCAAAATTTACCAGCGGAATTGCTAAACACGGCGATGTCATGGCCAAAAACGGCTTTACACTGCTCAATCGAAGCCCGGAGTGGTGGCCAAATCGCTAGAGAATAAGGAGCCGTGAGGGTATTATCTTTATCAAACACTACACCTTTGAAGCCCTTTCTCTTCAGCTCTCCCCAGTCAATGTACCGCAAATCCTTCACAGAAACATGCGGGATAACCAAATTCCGATCTCTAACAACTACAGAAACCGAAGAAACGATACCCTCTACGTTGATTCGTTGCCCAATAGCCGCTTTCAGATCTGCCCACCACATGTTCGACGAAATTGCCAAGCCGGTGTTGCCTTCTACTTTCGGAAGCACCAATTCGCGCGGCTCTTCGTCAATTCGTTCGGAGATCCGGTTAGAGAATCCTGGATCGTCGGTCGGGGAACTGAATTGGTAAAGAAGAAACGAATCCTCGAAAGGAGGTCGGCGAAGATTCTGCTTCTGCCTTCGATTGTTTGTCGTCGTTTGCAGAGAAGAGGAAGAAGACGAAGGAGAAGGAGGAGAACAAATGGGTTTGGTGGAGCAAGAGATGAAGTTAGGGTTTCGTTTGCTACGGGAAGGAGGAGGAAGAAGGAAACTTTTGGGGATTGGGTAGTAGAAAGTAGTGGAGGCAGCCATCGATGGGGTCTGCATCTCAGCCTTCTTTATAATATTCTTTTACTCTTTATTGACCAACAACATCAAAAATAAAATTGTAGCTGTAAGTTGTTTACCGGAAACACGAAGAAATTCCAGATTTCTTGGAGGCTGTTTTAGAAATTTAGACGACTCTTTTTGTTCCACACATTTTGGTTTTCCAAAAATAAAATGACAGTGGTTAAATTGCTAATTTACCATATCCATTGTTTGTCCATATGAAACCAAATTGTATTTGTTTTGCTCATGTTGTTCCTCTTGTCTTAAAATTGTCGTCTTCTCAACACATTTTGTGGCATCTATCTATATACAAACAATCTTCACTAATCTGAAACAAACGACCAAGAGATAGTACTTTCCAATTTCCATTAGCTTACAAGCAATGATGGTACTATTCATGGGCTTAGGGTAAAGAAGCACTAGTCAAGCAAATCTATTAGAAACATGTTTCTCTTTGAAATCCAGTTAAATCCAAGGAAATTCATTGTGGCACAACAAAAAGCTCAAGATTTCCCAATCAGCAAAAACATGACAACCGACAATAAAAAACATCACAAACACAAATCCAAACCCAAAACAAATCTCTAGCCAACCTTGTTCTCCGGAAATCAATCTCAAGAACTTTGGCCATCACTTATTCCTCAGGCTACATATTCATCAGAATCACTTTAGCTTGGCATAGCAGACGAACGCAGTCGCTGCAACCAAACCAGCAGCAGCCACTGGCCACAGTTTTACCTCCTTGGAAACCTTTGTGTTTGTGAATCTGACTGCATCACTAGGGCTCATAGATCTCTCATTCAACGCAACCATCGTCTCCTTCACTTCCTCAACCTTCTTCAGCACCTCCTTCTTCTTCAACTCCATCTGCTTCTCTCTTTTCCCAGCTTCACTCAGAGCTTCCTCTGTGCACTTCTTCTCAGACTTACACTTCTCCAATTCCTCACCGTTCTTCACCAATTCCAGATTCAAAACACCAACTTTCTTCTGCAATTCCTTTACCTCCCTCTCTTTCTCATCAGCTTTCTCCCTCAACTCCTCTTCTAGTCTAAGCTTCTTGCTCTTCTCCTCCGACTCCCTCACTTCCAAAACCCCAATCTTCCTTTCCAAATCCCTAACCCTCTTCTCAGTCTCAGCTCTCTCTTTCCTTAATCCCTCAGCTTCCTTCTCACACCCTTCCAGCTTCTCCCCTTTCTCCGCAACCGCTTTCTTCAGCTCCGTCACTTCCTCCGCCGTCTTATCCAATCCCGTCAAGGAATTGTTCAGATCGTCCTGAAGATTCGACACCTCCGTTTCAAGCTCCACGGCTCTCGTCGAAATAGATTCCAGAGCCTTCTTCTCTTCCTCGTACTCCTCGATCTCTTTCTCCATTTCCTCGAATCTCTGATTCATCTCCGCTTCTACACCTTTCATCTCTTCGATTTCTCCAATCAGCTTCTCTAACCTCTCCTTCGTCTCATGATTCTCCTTCGTTAGCTCCTGATTCCTCTTCTCCATTTCCTTAACTTTTCTTTCCAGTCCCTGATCAGCCATTGACAATGATTCTGGAGAAAATTTCAACACAGAGATTCAGACGCAATAACATGAATTACTCAACGGAAATTTTCACAAATGAAGAAATCAATTTCACAGGTATGCATTAGAGAATCAGTCTCTCTGACTTTTTCTCTCGGCAGCGATAAAGACATTTCCCTTATCGGGAAGGATAAAGAAAAACACTGGTACCACTAATAAAGATAGGAAATTTTCTTGAGATTTACCTTCCGATTATTCTGGGAAATTAAGAAAACGACGAAATTTTCCGGGGAGGAATCGGATTTGGTTTTCTAGGGTTTATGATTTATAGTGACGACAACAAATGGGCGTTGAGAAATTGGGCGGTTCTGAAATCTATAATCAGACATCAATACATAAAACTAGTCCACTTGGCAACTTCGTTTTAGTGATATCTGGTTAAATGGGCCTTTGGGTCATTAGAGGTAAGTTCCATAAGGCCCAACTTTACTAGAAATGCTTACAAACCTTTTCTATTTCATTTACCATTTTTTGCTCCTTGATTGATGAGCTAATGTGTCTCCTTGACAATATACATGGGTTATACATGTAACTGAAACTGATTATAAGAAGCCGGAACTTATATTATTTCGTATTTTGAATGAAAATGTGATCTTTTTCCGTTTTTTGCATCCACTATCTTATTAAATAAAGTTAGGTATATAATAATTATAATTCATATTATCATGACATCAATTCCACCTTCATATTAACATGACATCAATTCCACCGCCGTTACAAAATCATCAATCTGTTGAAATTCACAGTCTTTAAGATCCAACCATACTACATTGTTGAAAATGACTGTCTCTGAAATCCAACCATCCTACATTGTTCAAAAACGGAGCACGTAAAAAGCAGATCCAATATTCAAAAGAGTGGTCGATGCGAGTAAACATCTAATTCGCAGCAATTAAGTTCTCGGATCTCGAAATCTAATGATTTTGTAAAGGAGGATTTACTCGGAATCTCAATGTTAGAGGATATTTGCAATCAAACAATTAAGCTACACCAAAGGAAATTGAAGGACAAGAGTTGTATAGCCATTATATATGCTGTCTCTAATGCTAATGTTTAGGAAAAAATGTCATAGAATTTAGTGTTATTTTTTTCTGATTTTCTTGTTTGCTTATCTATTATCTCAAGAAATCACAAAAATAACCTTGTTTTCCTAAACATTCAAAACATTTTGCGATATCTTTGTGTTCAGGAAAAAAAGATTTCAGTTTTGATTCTAATGATTTTGTTTATATTTTTTCTTAAATGATTTCAATTTTTTTAAATAAACTGGGCGTATACGCGTAGCCGGGTCTTATCTAGTAAAAAATAAAACACATAAAATTAAGAAAAACTAAATTATGAACCCAAACTAAGAGCCAGTAATAATAAAAAAAAAAGGTAAAAAAAAAAAAAAGCATAGTGAGAGTTTTTGTTGTTGTTGTTTTTTTTTAACGATTTGAGAGAATTCCAAATTGTTTGTTCAATCTTCAACCCCCAAACTTCATATCGTCTTTCTCACTACGCTCAAGAAATGAGGTAAGAACTTTAATGGCATTGATCTGACATTGGAGAGCCAAGATGTAACTAGCCGTCTCTTCGAACAGCGCGTCGACTCCAAGCGCCGTTCCTCCGGGAACTATTGTCTGAAGCGCCTCAATCTTTTCATCGACTCCTTCTTCTTCTTCTTCATCGTCATCATCTTCTACCACGGTCTCGATTACACTCGCCGTTTCATCCGACAATCTCGCTCTGGTTCTGCGACTGAAACCGATGGTGCTTGTGCTCACGGTGGTGGATGGAGACGGCAAAGAGCGTTTTGTATGGGAAGTGGCTAGGGTTTTCTCCATTGACGGAGGGAGAGAGGATGTGTTGGAAGAAAAGAGGTACAGAGATGTGTGTAACTGCGAATATTTATATGAGTGATGGAATTAGTACATTGAAGTAGGACCGGTTCAACCGGTTTGAGGTTCAGTTTTACTTTGATTTACTCTAATTTTCCCCTAATTGAGCTGAATTGAAATGGGTTTTGGTTTATTTGACTATTTTTAAAAAAATGTGAAAGTTTCGGTTTGTTTAGATAAAAATTAGGTTTCGGTTTGGGTTGAAGTATCGAAATTGGGTAATGCCGGTATGCCATCGAAGCTGGGACCAGTTGTGATTTTCTTCTTTCGTTCTGGTGTTTTCGAATTATGGAGTGAGTGCTTTTTGTTTTGTTGGTTAGAGAGAGATTTGGATCACACGCGCTATGTTGAGTGGTTTAGTGGAGACGTCACTATACTCAAGTGGATCTCCCTGAGGTCCTGACAGATAGATAGATTGGATCTTTATTTTAATATTTTTTTATTCAGAAAAGTTTAATTTTGTATAAGTTGAAAATGCCGTGTCATTAACAAACTAGTAACATGCTTAGTTTAGTAATTATAGGCTTATCGACATGTGTTAAAACTTAATTCAGACTTTGACTTGTGGGTCTTTGTTTTGTATTCTTTTTGGAAACAGTGATGATGATTTTGATAAATCTTTCGCAGTATAAAAACAAAACCTAATTATTATAGATATCTACCTAATGGATGCATTTAGATAAACTATTGAGCGCATGATGATAGCTTTGTTTTAGAAAGACACATAAGATAAATGAAAACCATAAAATTTGTATATTTATTACAACATGCATTAACTTTTTTGCACTTTGCAGTGTTTGTAAACACCTCTGGACATATTGAGATAATATATGTGCCTCAAAATGTGAGATTGAAAACAAGTTAATCTAAATCTTTCCACCTGTTGAATTGATGATAGTATGTATTAATTCAGTTAAAATATAGATCAGTTATCTTATTAGTTACATGGGTCTTTTTCAATCACTACACAACTGGGGGTGTTATTACACAACTAATTACTCACATTGATGACGAGAAAAAACAAAAGAAAAAGGTTTTCAACTTAACGTTCAATACCACGCGCGAGAGGGTTGGGCGCGTGAGAGGGAAGAGAATCACCTGCGCCAGGTGCATGGGAGAGAGGGAGAGAGGGAGAGAGATGGGACCCACAAAAGCCCCGTAAAAGAGGAAAGGAGAAAAGGAAAGCACATGTGGTTACATGAGTTCTCGATGCATCTTCCATGTGCCTCCTCTTCTTGCTTTAACACAGTTAAACACAAACACACACACACTCTCTCTCTCTCTCTATACTTACACACAGAGAATGAATAGATACAGTTGTAGATAGTGAAGCTGTGTTGGGTGGTACTATGATGATCTACTAGTTGGACAGAAGATCCACATGACTTCTTTCTCGCATGGGAGCCACGTGACATCTTTTATGGAACCCTACCTTTTGAATTCCCTAAAATCTATCTTTCATTTTTGTCAGCTTTTTTCTTTGTTATGGTTTCCAAAAAAATGGAATTAAAGGAGTACTACTAACAAAGTCTACGAAATTAAAGAAGGAGAAAAGTCGTGTGCTCATGTCGGCATTAATCTTTACAAAACTCACTCGATTTCATCAATTTTCTGTGTGTGTAAACTGTAAATGTTAGGATAGTTCATCGTTTTTTTTTCAGACAGGGATATTTGTTTTTTTTTTTTTGTAAAAGGGTATTCTATTGAAATTGCGAAAAAACAATGTTAGGTACATGACTATGACTTGCCAGGGATATTTGTTTAGGTTTCAACTTCTAATTTTGTTGTTCTTCTTATCTATTAACCCAATCTGTGCAAGAATTCCCATGGTCTAGAGCCAAAACAAATCAGCCCTGTAATTTTTTTACTGGTGATGCAGGTAGCTGTGTGAAGGAGGAGAATTGTGATTTCATTCACCACGGGGCTAGGTCACCGCTGGAGATTGAATGAAGAATCCGTTATCGGTATGATTCCGGTGAAATCATCCCTGGCAATCCCAAGAAATACAAACAAACAAAATGAAATGGATAAATTTAACTGATTGGAATTTATTTTGATACACTTTTTTTCAGTTTTCAAGATACAATGATTATATTTGTTGGATTTTTATTGGTTTAAAATTATAAAAAATTGTTTTATTGCAGAAATCTATGCACTAATGATTGAAAATCAACTTTTTCTTAATTTTTGTGAAAAAATTAGAAAATTTATCTTTAAAAAACAGAGGGAGTATCAGTTATCACTACTTGCTAGTTTTTCCGTTTCATATTGTTATATTTAAGTGTAGTTATTTAAAAAAAAAACTTTCTATGTTGTATATAAATCATATGAGTAGGTTTGAAAATAATAATATCGAAATATGACTGTAACCCTTATCTATAGAGAAAAAGGGAAGGTAAGTGACTGATGCATGTTTCCTGATGTTAAAAAAAGAGGTGATGTTTCCAATGAGGGAACGGAGAGGGGGTGGTTGGTTTATTGGGATTGAGATTTTCAGAATAGGTTTCACTATCGACCAACCTGACACTTACCACAATTCTAGTATATTTATATATTTGTAGGTTGTGTATTTTTATATCTGTACACACAGTTACATTAATCCAAGAGATCTAACATTAGCCAGCTTTCGCCTTGGTTTAATCATTATTCAAACGCACCAGTCACATCAATGGAGTTAGTTAATGTGCGTTGTTAAAACAAGAAAGGCATTTGAAAAAGTTTGAGATAAATGGTCTTTTTTGAGGGAAGAAAGAAAAAAACAAAGGTGAAGAGGACAAATACAAGGTGATATGATATGGTTTTATTAGTTGCAAATTACTTGTCTTCTCTTTTATGTGGTTGAGAGATATGGGCCAAACAGGTAGACCCAATTTGACGGTTTTATCTTTGGGACAATGGTTACATGGGTGTGGGTCCCTTATGCACCATCCTTTGTCTCTCTAATCCTGTTTAGAAAGTAACATGATTCGCATGTTCATATCATTTCCCAACTTCAAATCCACTACCTCCGGCGATAAACTCGTAAAACTTTTCCTTTTGTATTTTTTAAGCTTTTGTAATCATACTTAAAAAGGTTTTGGTTTTATGTTAAGACTTTTGTTCTGCAATGCAATGATTATCTATTTTATATGACGGACGTATTTATCATCTTGCAGTAAACGCAACATATTTGTCACAATTGAATAGTCGAGTAAAAATTGTCATGGAATTTAGTCTTATTTTTTTTTCTGATTTCTTTGTTTGCTTATCTATTTTTCTTAATTTTTTTTTCATAATACAACTGCAATCTGAAGTTTCATGGACCAAAACTTTCAATAGGTTAGGATTGTCCCATAGTCAAATATAACTTGGAGATAATGACATTATTTCATTAAAATAATACTTTTGATAATTGGAAAAAGTTCAGAACCAGATTTTGTTAGACACTCTGTAAAGAAGCAATCACCAATCCTCAAAGAGAGCGTGCTTTGGATGTATTCGTTCTCCAAACGTGAAGTGTTGTTTACTGTAATTTTGTGTTGTTGTTTTAAGCGAAATGTTGTTTCTTCTCAATTAGCTCATATAAACAAAACAAAAGCTAACTCTACAAAAGGTGTGCGCATATACACACATATATTTATAATATTTTGCATATACAATAAGATTGAAGGTAGTTTTCTTTGATCTAAGATTAGGCTTAAGTGATTACTGCAGAATTTATTTTTAATTGAGTCGGGAAGAAGAAAACAAGAGTGTTGCTCGTGACATGGGGCTTCCCACTGGCACAGGCCACATGCGTCGGATCTGCCATGAGAATATCATCAACATCATAATTTAAGTGATGTCATAAAAAAGATCATCATGATGTGCATGTGCAATGATCGCATATTCTCAACCATCTGTCACCAGGTAACCAAGTATGGCTACAAAGTTGTTTGTCCATCGAAGAAACATAACAAATTTATTTTTACACATATAACAGTTTTCTGTCGGTGATAATTCTGTCCTAACATAAGCTGAAACACATGAAATTTTTGTCCTAGCGATCAAAACCAAATTTGGGCATCAGTACATTTTTGATATAATGAAACCTCTAGTACACTAAGATATTTTGATATTTTTCTAGAAGGCAGAAATTCCCAAATGGTTTGTATGTCTATTGTAATGGATAAACGAAACAGGTTGATCAACACTGAAATTGCTTTAAGGCAAAAGAAAAACAGAACATCTGAAAACGAAATAACACTGAAATTGCTTTAAGGAGAAGACGCAAATTACTTGCTTCAGACGGTAAGACAGAGGAAAAGGTTCACACGCTTGAAAGCAAAAGGATCTCTGAAGAGCTAAAACATCCAAATTCCAAATTCCAAATAACACCAAAGGAGAAACCACCATGGTATCATCTTGTACATGAATGGAGTCAAAATAAGAAAAGAAACAAAAGAAGCTAGGAAAGCAAGTTTTCATCCTCGAAGACTCCACTGACGAATCCATTTCCGGTACAAGACATCAGGTACCCAGAAAATCACATTGCAACTCGACGTCTCGTTGTAATGCATCAGTGTGTCCTCAACAACTCCTAACCATCTAGGGATTTCCAACATTGTAGGCTCGTCCCTTTCGGGAGTAATCTCCATCTCCTCCAAACTCGGACAATAGTTTAAGAAATGCTTTATCATGTGTACCTCTCTGATTGTTCCTCTAAATCGTGAAACAAATATCTTCTTCACAGGAGAAGACATGAGCGAACGACCTTTGTCCCTCGTAGAAAGGCAGTCACAAACATCCCCACACGTCTGTGTCACCAAGTGTAAGAGATCCTGAAAAGCATGATAAAGGAGACAATAAGCGATTTTCAAAGTCAGAATGTAAGGAAGCTAAGAGAAGTGGTGTGGTTTTATACATACCTCAAAGAATAGAATTTCCAAGTGTGGAGAGTTCCTTAGAAGAAGTGGCATTGCTTGCCATCCTTGAAGTGGTTTTATGAGAGTCCTAGGATGTAAAACTGTGAGCTTTTCCCGAACCGGCATCGTATTTGAAAGGCAAAAAGAAAGCAGCTGAAACAAGAGACAATATTTAGTTAACTTGTATCACACGAATGTACGTAGACGAGGATGTTCTATCATGTTCTAGGGTTTCAAAATAAAACTGACCTCGAAATAACGAGGGGATATGTGAAACATCTTAGCCTTTCTTATGCTATGAATAAGCTTCCGCACATTCTCTCTTGCACGATCACCTCGATAATCAGCATGTGGAAAGTTAAGCTCAACCTGAACTACGTTTTGCAAGTTGAGTAATGGATAATCCTCCTCAGCAAAATCACCGTAGTCTAAGACGACAAGATTTGGTGCATCGAGTGAAAAAGTCCCTAAAGAGCCGTCTTCTGAAGTAATCTTTAGATATTTGAGGCGTGAGCTTGATATGATCACATTCCTATCTCTCCACACCATATCAAGCAACTCTAATTCCTCAAGAGCAGGACAAGCAGGAAGAAGAGTCTGGAACTGACCCCTACCAAACTTAACCGTGTCAAGAACAAGAGTCTTGAGCATCGGTAAGAACATGTCATCGTCCCACGCATCAAGATCAACTCCATATCCTGTTTTCAGCTCGACTAATGTCTTACTGACAGATATCTCGTAAGGCAGAGAATAATCTTCTTTAAATTCCAAGAATAAACCAAGGTGAGAAACACCGCGTCGCAGCACATTAAGTATCCAACGATCAACACGATAAGGATCAACACCAGTTTTAACCTTCAGAGAGAATGCCTTAATGGGAGAAACATCCTGCAACGCCAAAACCCTATCCACAAAATCCATGAAACACTGAACAGCACCATCCTTTTCCCGTTTACTTCTTTTGGGACTGAGGAAGTCAGAGTCGTCGAGATCAAGACTAGGAACAAACGCAAACAGATTACGCCATCTCTTTGCGAGAACCGATGTGGAAGCAGCTTCCTTTGTTTTTGGAAGAAAGGACAAGATATGAGAAACAACTGTTGGTGTTCCTCCTAGTGGGGAAACACCATTGGGCTTGGTTAGTAGGAACCAAGCTATTGGGCCATATGCTAATTCATGAGATTAGTAGTGGGCTTAGGGTTAAGAGTAACCATATAAATATTCTTAACTTAATTCATGTGGAATGACATACAAGAAAGAGAGGCACTTCTTGAGAGGCAAAGAAGAGAAAAACACTTTCGTCTGATTTTGTAAAAACAACGTTTGGAGGTTCGATAGTGCTCCGATTTGGCTGAAACTTTTGTGAGAGCTTCGTGACTCATCGATCTTGAGATTCACCGGAGGGATTTGCGTTCTGACGGTTGGTTCGAGAGTTATTTGGGTTTTAGCGGGCTATTCGCTACTGTAGCGAGTTCTGGTTTTCAGCAGGTTCTGTCTTGAGTGTTTGGAAAATCCGACGGTGAGTTCTTCTCTGATTGAGCTGAAATTTGGCAGAGGTATTCTTGACTTGTTCATCTTGGATTTGTACGGTGGGATCTTCTCTTGGTGGCTGGAATCCTAGTGAACTGAAGGTCGTTTGTGACTGTCTATTTCTGAGCTCTTGTAGTGCCTTTATATTGCTCTCTTGTTGAGTTTCTTGTTGAGGAGATTGCTCTTTGTAGCCTGAGTCTCTGGATCTGTTCTGTGGGAACAGGGAGGACGTGGTTGTAACTTATATTCATTTCATATAGTGGATTTTGAGTGGACTACGGTCCCGTGGTTTTTACTCCTCACATCGAGGGGGTTTTCCACGTAAAAATTTGCTGTCTCATTTACTTTCAGCTTTGCCATATTCTGCCATTGTCGAAATATTTTTTCTCACAGGTTCACACAAGTGCTTCGCTGCGGCGGTGTTGCGTGTTATTGACCGTTTTTCCCAACAAAGTGGTATCAGAGCTTTGGGTTATTGGCTTGCTTGTGTGAAAGATGGAAAATATGGGCAGAATGATAAGCTTGAATGGTGCTAATTATCATCTGTGGAAAGGCAAGATGGAGGATTTGCTTTTCGTGAAGGAATTCCATATTCCGGTATTTCAAGAGAAGAAGCCTGAGAAGAAAACTGATGAAGAATGGATCTTGATGCATCGCCAAGTCTGTGGTCTGATAAGGCAGTGGGTTGATGATAATGTTTTGCATCATATTGAAAATGAGGTTAATGCTCGTTCTTTGTGGTTGAAGCTGGAGCAGCTGTATGCTCGGAAGACCGGGAACAATAAAATGTACATGATCAAAAAGTTGATTGAGCTCAGATATCAGGAGGGAACTCCGATGACAGATCACTTGAATGAGTTTCAGGGATTGCTCAACAAGCTTTGTGATATGGGCATCAAGTTTGATGATGAGATTCACGGTTTGTGGCTTCTTGGTACATTACCAGATTCTTGGGAGGTGTTCAGGATGTCTCTTTGTAACTCTGCATCGGAAGGTACCATTTCGATGGACTTAGTGAAGAACAGTGTTTTGAATGAGGAAGCAAGAAGGCAGTCAAATGCTAGTTCTTCGCGTTCAGATGTTCTGGTTTCTGAGTCAAGGGGGAGGAGTACATACAGAGAGTCCAAGAAGAACAAGAACAGGAGCAGGAGCAAGTCTAGTAGATTTGCAAATTTGGAGTGCCATTACTGTCATAAGAAAGGGCACACTAAGAGCCATTGCTGGAAGTTAAAGAAGGACAACAAGCAGCAAGGAGATGGTGAAGATCGGGTGACAGTCACCGAAGATCAGTTCTTTATCCTTCTTGAGAGTGATGCCATTAATGTTGCATGCCAAGACACAAGTTGGGTGATTGATAGTGGAGCTACTACTCATGCTACATCGCATCAGGATTTGTTCACTACCTATACTTCAGGTAGTTATGGTTCTGTAAAGATGGGTAATGATGGTTCAGCTCGAGTTGTTGGCATTGGTGATATTTGCTTGGAGACTAGTCTTGGTACTAAGCTTATGCTTAAAGGAGTTAAGCATGTCCCTGATATTCGATTGAACTTGATATCTACGGGAAGACTTGATGATGAAGGTTTCTATAGTTTGTTTGGTGGTGGTAAATGGAAGCTTTCACGTGGTTCTATGGTTGTGGCTAGAGGTGATAAGTTCTCATCCTTTTATTGGATGCAAGCTAAGGTCTCCAAAGAAACTGTAAATGCATTGGAGAATGACGATGCCATGGAGTTGTGGCATAAGAGACTTGGTCACATGAGTGAGAAAGGTTTGTGTGTGTTGTCTAAGAAGTCTATTCCAGGGATTTCTGGTTTGCACTTGCAGAAGTGTGCGCATTGTATTGCGGGGAAACAACACAGAGTATCTTTCAAGTCTTCCGCGCCTTCTAGATTACCCGAGATACTTGATCTGGTGCACTCAGATGTTTGTGGTCCAATGAAGACAAAGTCTCTTGGTAGTGCATCCTATTTTGTCACTTTCATTGATGATCACTCTAGGAAGTTGTGGGTTTATACTATGAGGACGAAGGATCAGGTTTTGGGATATTTCAAGCATTTTGTGGCATTGGTTGAGAGACAAACGGGAAAGAAGTTGAAGTGTATCCGCAGTGATAATGGTGGAGAATATTCTGGACCATTTGATGCTTATTGCAAAGAGCATGGTATTAGGCATCAATTTACGCCGCCTAAGACTCCACAGTTGAATGGGTTGGCTGAGAGGATGAACAGGACGATTGTTGAGAGAGTGAGATGCTTGATCTCACAGTCAGGCTTATCTATGACTTTCTGGGGTGAAGCCTTAAGCACGGTTGTTCATGTGCTTAATTTATCACCAAGTTCTCCATTGAATGGTGATATTCCCGAGAGAGTTTGGACTGGTAAGGATGTTTCTTACGATCATTTGAGGGTCTTTGGATGTAAGGCTTTTGTGCACATTCCCAAGGATGAGAGATCGAAGCTTGAGATGAAGTCTCGACAATGTGTGTTCATTGGTTATGGTCAGGATGAGTTTGGATACAGATTTTATGATCCCGTTGAGAAGAAGCTCGTGAGGAGCAGAGATGTGGTGTTCATGGAAGATCAAACGATTAAGGACATTGACAAGTCCGGAAATCCAACTCAGAGTTTTGAGAGTTTGATCGGACCAGAGGTTGCTCCTTCTACATCGGTTCACGGTCAGGTCGAAGGTGAGGTTCATTCTGATACACCCAATGCAGATGCTCCCGCACATGATGAGGGTATTGGTGGTCATGATGACGATCACGATGGAACACCAACTACCGAGAACCTACCTGCTGTGAGAAGATCTGAGAGAGGTCCTAAACCGTCGACAAGGTACGATCCTAGTGAGTATGTGTTACTCACTGATGGGGGAGAACCTGAAAGCTTTATGGAAGCTTTGGAGGATGAACACAAGGATAAATGGTTTGGTGCCATGGGTGAAGAGATGGATTCTTTTGAAGAGAACCATACTTTTGATTTGGTGAAATTGCCTAAGGGCAAGAAGGCTCTGCTTAATAAGTGGGTGTACAGAATTAAGCATGAGGATACCAGTTTACTACCTCGATACAGGGCTAGATTGGTTGTAAAAGGTTACGGCCAAAAGAAGGGAGTTGATTTTGATGAAATATTTTCTCCTGTTGTAAAGATGTCATCCATTCGGGTTGTACTTGGATTGGCAGCGAGCCTTGATCTAGAGGTTGAGCAAATGGATGTAAAGGCTGCTTTCCTTCATGGTGATTTGGAGGAAGAGATTTACATGGTACAACCGGAAGGCTTTGTGAAGAAGGGCAAAGAGGATTTGGTTTGCCGCTTGAAGAAAAGCCTTTATGGATTGAAGCAAGCACCGAGACAGTGGTACAAGAAGTTCAAGTCTGTTATGGGGGAGCATGGGTATAAAGAGACTACTTCTGATCACTGTGTATTTGTGCAGGTGTTTGGTGATGATGATTTTATCATCTTGTTGTTGTATGTTGACGATATGTTGATTGTGGGCAGGAATGTGAGCAGAATTCAAGAGTTGAAGAAGCACCTCAGCCAGTCCTTTGCCATGAAAGATTTGGGTCCAGCGAAACAGATTCTTGGTATGAGAATTGTTAGAGACAGAGGTGAGAGGTTGATTCACTTGTCTCAGGAGAAGTACATTGAGAAGGTGCTTCGGAGGTTTCACATGGACAAATCTAAAGTTGTAAGCACTCCTCTTGCTGCACACTTTAGATTGAGCAGTCAACAGAGTCCGAGTACAGAGTTGGAGAAGCAAGATATGGCACGGGTTCCATATGCTTCTGCAGTGGGTAGCTTGATGTATGCCATGGTTTGTACAAGACCAGATTTAGCTCACGCCGTTGGTGTAGTCAGTCGTTTTCTCTCCAATCCTGGAAGAGATCATTGGACTGCTGTGAAGTGGATTTTGAGATATCTTCGAGGGACTTCCAGCCTAAAGCTTACCTTTGGAGGTACTAAACCATTACTTGTCAGTTATACTGATTCTGATATGTCTGGGGATGTTGATTCCAGAAAGTCTACTTCTGGTTACTTGGTAACTTTTGCGGGTGGAGCTGTTGCATGGCAATCAAGGTTGCAAAAGTGTGTTGCACTTTCTACCACTGAAGCTGAGTTCATAGCCGCAACGGAAGCTTGTAAAGAAGTGTTATGGATGAAGAACTTTTTGGCAGATATTGGTTTCAAGCAAGATAAGTATGTGTTGCTTTGTGATAGTCAAAGCGCAATTTGTCTCGGAAAGAACTCGACATTTCATTCGCGTTCAAAACACATCGACCGGAGGTATCACTGGATACGTGATGTGGTTGCTTCTAAGGAAGTGGAACTTGAGAAAGTTCATACGGATGATAATGGAGCTGATATGATGACAAAGTCATTGCCGAGATGGAAACTTGAAGTCTGCCGAGGGATAGCCGGAATGGCTGTTTCCTCCACCTAGTCGGAGGGGGAGTTTGTTGGTGTTCCTCCTAGTGGGGAAACACCATTGGGCTTGGTTAGTAGGAACCAAGCTATTGGGCCATATGCTAATTCATGAGATTAGTAGTGGGCTTAGGGTTAAGAGTAACCATATAAATATTCTTAACTTAATTCATGTGGAATGACATACAAGAAAGAGAGGCACTTCTTGAGAGGCAAAGAAGAGAAAAACACTTTCGTCTGATTTTGTAAAAACAACGTTTGGAGGTTCGATAGTGCTCCGATTTGGCTGAAACTTTTGTGAGAGCTTCGTGACTCATCGATCTTGAGATTCACCGGAGGGATTTGCGTTCTGACGGTTGGTTCGAGAGTTATTTGGGTTTTAGCGGGCTATTCGCTACTGTAGCGAGTTCTGGTTTTCAGCAGGTTCTGTCTTGAGTGTTTGGAAAATCCGACGGTGAGTTCTTCTCTGATTGAGCTGAAATTTGGCAGAGGTATTCTTGACTTGTTCATCTTGGATTTGTACGGTGGGATCTTCTCTTGGTGGCTGGAATCCTAGTGAACTGAAGGTCGTTTGTGACTGTCTATTTCTGAGCTCTTGTAGTGCCTTTATATTGCTCTCTTGTTGAGTTTCTTGTTGAGGAGATTGCTCTTTGTAGCCTGAGTCTCTGGATCTGTTCTGTGGGAACAGGGAGGACGTGGTTGTAACTTATATTCATTTCATATAGTGGATTTTGAGTGGACTACGGTCCCGTGGTTTTTACTCCTCACATCGAGGGGGTTTTCCACGTAAAAATTTGCTGTCTCATTTACTTTCAGCTTTGCCATATTCTGCCATTGTCGAAATATTTTTTCTCACAGGTTCACACAAGTGCTTCGCTGCGGCGGTGTTGCGTGTTATTGACCGTTTTTCCCAACAACAACCGCGTCCGGTAACTTGCTGAAGACATCCATCTTCTTCGTTTCCATTGATTTCATCACAAATCTACTAAGAATAATCCAAACATCAACAATACATAAGTACCGAACAGAGAAAAGGAACAGAGCAAAGGAAAAGGAAAGAGGAAAGAAAATTTACCTTTTGTATATTTTCTTTCCTTTCAGTTCTATTGTATGTTTTGTTTTTAGTTTTTTAGCAGAGTAAATCCCTATAAATCAAGGATCCGAAGTCGCTAAATTAATGACGGTTGATTCGGGGACCCTAAATCACGGGATAACAACTTCGCCTAAATAAAAGCAGAAGGTGTGTGTGAGTGGGAAGTTTTCTATGGCGGGAATGTAAGAAAAGAAAAGTCAAAGATATGTCGCTCGCTGCGTTGAAAGTTGAAACGGTGCGTCTCACCATGGGCCAAAGCAAAACGCAGCGTTTCTGTTTTCTTAACATTTATTTTAATAATCCACATTTAATTTTGCAATATACTGAAATTTCATAATACGAATAAATTAGATTTTCCATTATACTACATCAGAAGAAAGCAAGAACAATGTGTACTAAAATCAAGGCATCCACAGTGCAAAACTGTAGGACCAAAGAAGAATTACAGTTACTTTGATCCATTACTCTAGTTTTGCAGGAAAACAGTTGAGCTGGAACTTGCAAGGTTTGGGAAGTACGAGCAGCAGATTTGTGGTGAATATCAACTTTGAGTGTGGACCAGCATGAACATTGACCAGCTCAAGACATGATAATTTCTCGAGGAAATGTTTCATTTGCTCCAACTCTGTTCTTGTTCCGAAGTACTCGGTTATCTCCAAGACTTTCACAGGACATGTCGATAGGAAAGAATAGTCCCGCAAGCACTCACAGTTCTCAGATTCGTATTCACCATAAGAGTGCAAGGGACCCTACACACAAAGATGGGGGGATGAGTCAATAATTAATTATTAGTGGAATATTGTAAAAAACTTTGAATACCTTGATGACAAGAGTCTCTAGATTTGGAGATTTTTGAAGTATTAGTGGCAGAAATTTCCAACTCCAACACATGTATTGGCACTCAGTTTCAATAGTTAAACAAGATAGGTTTTCGAACAGTGGGACTGATTTAGCATAGGAATATAAAACCTGAAAAAGAGAAAAATAAACTAGTCATCAAACAACTCCAATCTTTTGTGGTTAAATAAAATAATTCAAGAAACAAGAATGCCTCTTTCATGATCTTTTATGTTATATATATATGTTCTCAAGTTGCAATAACACATTAGATAGGAAGAAGAAAAGTTTAAAAGTACCATTGAGGTTTCAGGAGACGACAAGTGGAGAGTCTCAACATTACTTAACCCCTTAACCAGATTCACTAGATTGCCACCAGGAGAGTCACTCGAATAAAGAGTAAGCTTAGCTTCAACAAGAGAGTCGAGATTAACAATTGGATACTCATCGATACAATCTGTACAGGAGAGAGTAAGTCTCTCAAGGCTAGGACATGAAACGGTTGGAGTCTGTTTCGGATCCCTAGGGTAACAAAGTACGGTTAGTTCCTCCAGCACAGGGCAAGCAGAAAGAAGAGCTTCAAACGCGCAACCAGAGAACCGAATACAAGAAAGAAACAGAGTCTTAAGCGCCGGAAGATAAGCATTCTCAGGCACCGTAGCAATACTAAAGCCGCTTCCTAGTTTTAACTCAACAATTGTCTTGCTAGTGAAGATCTCTAAAGGCAGTACTGTAATCTCATCTTTAGTGAGTATGTCCAGATCAATTACCAAGATACCACGGCTCAGCACTTTAGTCATCCAACGGCTGAGATGAGATGATTCAACACTCTGTCTGATTTTCATAGAGAATTTCCTCATGGTGGAATTGCCTGACACAGACAAAACTCTGTCCATGAAATCTGTGAAACTCTTATTACCTTTGGGATTCCAAGAGTGAATATCAACGTAACGAACATGAAGATCCGGGCTGAAGGCAAAGAGATTCCTCCATCTCTTTGAGAAAACAGAAGTTAAAGCAGCTTCTTCTATCGGAAGAAAAGATAGAATACGGCAAACAATCTCATCAGGTAAATCACTGATCCCGTCTATCATTTTTCTCAAACCCTAGAGTCGCCAAGGCTGAGGAGCAACTGCAATTAAGAAGAAAACGAACAAAGAAAAACTATAAAATTTAGGGCTATAGGAGCTTTTTCTGTTGAATTTGGTCCGGTTCTAATTAAAACCAAATAGATAACCGAACCGAACCAAAATCAAAACCATATATACGCCTAGCTAAATTGGTTGCATTTGGTTTTAGGGTTTTGTAACTTTTGTTGAATAAGACATAGAGCAAATGCTTTGTTATTAATCTTGCTGGTCTCACTCAAACATAGTAATGCCAGGGGTTATGAGATGTCAACAAAGTAGACATAAAAGCAAAATCACTGTTGAAAAATTCAAATTAAAAACAAAGCCATCGAGATTAACTGTCTGTAAACAAGCAGTAAGGACTTAAAATTTAGTTCTCTGATGGTTGACAATACTTGAGCTGGATCTTGCAAGCTCTGGGAAGCATTAGCAAATCTTTGGTGAATAAAAACTTTGCAACTGCCCAAGCACGGACTTTGACAAGCTCAAGACATGGCAGTTTCTCAAGGATATGTTTCATTTGCTCCAATTCTCCTTTAGTTCCACGGTACTCCGTTATCTCTAGGACTTTCACATGACATGACCATGGAAAAGAATAACCAGACAAGCACTCGCAGACAGATTCTAACTGCTGTCCATATTTATCACAATAGTGCAAAGGACCCTAAAACAAAAATAAGCTTAATTAATTAAAGCCTATTTCAATCATATATATGGTTTGTGAATATTGAGAACTTGAAGGTTTCACTCATACCTTGATGACAAGAGTCTCTAGATTTGGAGAATTTTGAAGCAGTAAAGGCACAAGTTTCCAACACGAGCCTAACTCAGTTGCAATAGATAGACGAGAAAGCTTTTCAAACACTGGGATTGCTTCACGAACGGAATAAAAAATCTGAAACAAAATAAAAAAAACCATTATCTCCGAAACAAAACCTAAAGCTTTTTAAATTTTAACAAGATTCTAACTATTTCAACCCAAGAAGTTGCAAATAATATACTACAAAGGAATAAAAATGAAGAGCGCACACCATGCACTTACGTCTGAGGTTGTAATAGACGATAACTCTAGGACCTGTATATTTCTTAACCCCTCAATCAGATTCGTTGGATCGCGTTCACCATGTTCCCTCGAAGAAAGAGAAATATCAAGCTTAGCTACGACAAGCGATTGGAGACTGACAACTGGATGCTCAATATGAACAAAACCAGAGTATTTTAAGTAGGCAAGACTTGGAGTATCAAAAGTGATGCTACAATAACGAGGCCTGGAAAACCTTGCAAAGTTAATAATAGTCATTCTCTGAAGGGTCATACTTGAGACTCTGCACCACCATTCCCATTCCCCATAACATATTATCGTAAATTCCTCAAGCACAGGGCAAGCAGAAAGAAAGGGTTCGAACTCATGACCACAATGATGAGGGAAGAACCGAATACAATCAAGAAGCAGAGTCTTAAGAGCTGGAAGAGATGCATTTTTGGGAAGAATATCCATATGAGACGCAAATCCTAGTTTTAGATGAACAATTGTCTTGCAACTGAAGAAACTTAACAGCAGTTGATCATACAAATAGTCACTATATATGTAATGAAGAACAAGATCCTCGACACCATGACCTATCACATGCGTCAGCACATTACATATCCAATCGCTGACATGAGCTGATTTAATTCGCCATTTTAGGGTGAATTTCTTTATGGGGAAATCGCCTGACACAGCCAATACTCTATTCACGAATTCTATGAGACTCCTTGTGACGTCCGTTCCGGGATCCTCATCAGTGGCAAAGGCTTTGTCTTCGAAACAGAGATTTGATGTGAAGGCAAAAAGATTTCGCCATCTCTTCGAGAGAACAGAAGTTAAAGCAGCCTCATTTGTGGAGACGAAGGACAAGATGTGGCAAACAATCTCATCAGGTAGATTGCTGATCCTATCCATCTCTTTCCGTTTTCCCTAACCCTAAGATACACCAAGGCTAATTTTCTCAATAATGAAACAGGCTTCAGGTTTTGTTGAATAATTTAGGGTTTAGTCCGGTTTTAAAACCAAATAAACCAAACCGAACAAAAACCAAATCATCCTGTCCTGTGGATCGAGTTTTACATAACTACACAATGCTAAGCTATAAGATATAAGACAGATTTATAAGTTTTCGGATTTCATATTCCAGTCGATGTATTGTATTGGTTGAACACTTCAGCTACTACAAAAACGTGCAAAACAAGGCATCTTACCAAGTGTTCATCCCACCATAATAAAATACTGAATATTTATCTTTATTAGCAACAAGTATCGTAACAAGTAGTCGACTCCTTTTAGCTTCTAAAACGAGAACTCAAAGCAACATTGGCATAAACAGTTCGACTTTAAAAATAAATATATAAATTTCTTCCTCGTAGACAACTCATTGTGCAATCCAAGGCAAGGAACCGTGCACCTTGAACTTAACATTGGGACTGCGACCCGATAAATCATTGTAACGCGTCAACATCTCCGGGTTAAATTCCGACACTAACGGAGCTGTGAACCGGTGACGCTTTGCAATATAGATCTCCATCTCCTTCAAACACGGAAGATAATCCAAGAAATGCTTTACCATCTCTAAATCTCTGGTGAGTCCATCAAACTCTCGAATCTCTAACCTCTTCACTGGACAAGACATGAGCGAACGGCCTTTCTCCTCTCGAGATTTGCAGATACATACATCCCCGCATTTATCCGTGACACAGTGTAAGAGTTGCTGAAACCAGCAGAAAGTTGACAATTAATTAATTAGGGAACTTCATCATCTCTTTAAATCTCAAGTACGTAGTTTGTGTTTTTATTATACCGTAATGACTAGAGTGTCTAGATGTGGAAAGTTTCTTAGGAGAACCGGCATTGCTTGCCACCCTATATCCATGCTAGTATCAATGTCTAAGAATGTGAGGTTATTGAACACCGGCATCGCCTGACTGCTAACAGCAATCACCTGAAACGTAATAATCTCAAAGGTTGTTTCATTTCATTTTTTTATATCACAAGCGATAAGGAAATAAAAATAGTAAACTAACCTGAAAAGCACCATGAGATAAGTAAAGCTTCTGAACATGGCATATGCCAAGAACAAGCTTCAGCACATTACCAAATCTGTAAATATCATCCTTTGTCCAATCTCCACTTCGGGTTTGTAAGTCATCGAGTTGCTGATAATATACTCTAATCTTAATATGAGCCTCAACTAAGCTACGCAAATTCACTAATGGATAGTCATCCGACTCTGAGTCAGAGTAGTTTAAGCAAACAAGATTCGGTGTATCGAATGAGAAAGCACGCAAGAAATTGACACAGTCGATTGTTAGAGTCTTGAGGCTCGCACTTGACAAGGTCTCAGTCGAATTTGCAAAATGTACCTCGACCATGTTTAGTTCCTCAAGCACTGGGCAAGCAGAGAGTAGCTTCTGAAGCTGACCTTTAGAAAACCTAACTGAGTCAAGAGCAAGAGTCTTAAGCATATGTAAGGAAACGTCTCCAGACCAGAAACCAAGAGAAAACGTTGTAATCTTCAGCTTAACCAGCGTCCTGCTCATGAAAACTTCCAAAGGCACGACATATCTAGTTTCAAAATCGATGCAAAGATCCATGACCAACACACCGCGCTTAATCGCAAGACATATCCATCGATTCGCACGATCAGGATCAACACCAGTTTTAACCTTGAGGGAGAATTTATTAATGGGAGAATCGCCCTGCAAGGCCAAAACCCTATCCACAAAATCCATGAAGCTCTCAAGAACTCCTTCCCTTTCCGGACGAAGAAAGACAGAGTCATCGAGATCGAGATTAGGGACAAACGCGAAGAGGTTGCGCCATCTCTTGGAGAGAACCGATGTCAAAGCAGCCTCCTTTGTGGTTAAGCAAGACAAGACATGGCAAAGAAGCTCGTCCGGTAGTCTACTGATCCGATCCATCTTCTCTGTACATTAACAACAACAAGAAAAGTAGAGAGGAAATAGGAAAACACAATTTTATTAGAAGCCACGCAGTACTCTACATCAAAGTAGTCCGATTGAAAACAGGAAAAAATGCACCCAATATTAGGGTTTAGATTCAGGTTTGGTGAGTGGACGGTTTCGGAGTTCGTAGAGGAAAGGTCATATTAATGATTGTATATATTCGATGCGTTTATTTCTGAGATTCTTTAGTCTTTACGTTTACGCGCCTTTAAACTCCATTACTCATTAACAGTAAAACGCAGCGTTTTGTTAGGTGGTGCCACACATTGTTAAAACAAATGTCTTTTTGATCGTCTAAAATTTGAAATTTCTTAAACCAATTTTTTTGTCATTTTCATGCTAAGAAAATCATGGTAGTGGCTAAGATTTTCGTAAGGAAAAATTATAACAGCTATATATATCATTGTTTGAGTGCCTCTTTTAAGGAAGTCTATGTGATGGTTCTACGTGTTGCTGCTTCATGACTCCATATTCTCGATCATTTCCTAAGTTTGTCATATGAAAAATGATGTCATATGATGTCAAGAGTCCTAAGTTTCCTGTTTGTTGTATGTCTCTGTTGAAGAATCTGTGTGTCTTATTATCTGAAATGAGGTACTCAAATAATTAGTCCTAAGATGTCAAGAGTCGCAAGTTCTAATTGTTAGTGTATGTCTTTATTGGTGAAGCTGTATTTTTCTCTGGAGTTTAGAGGGAGAGAACAGTTTGATTAAGATTTAATTAACCAACAATCCAATAAGGAAGACATAGTAAACAAAGAAAAACCTAAAGCAAAATCCATCAGAGAGTAACTAAAATCAAGAGTGCACACAAAACAGAATCACCAACAGATTCACACAAAACGGTTCCCAACAGACCAACTATGACGAAGAAACTCGAACTGGAACTCGCAGTTGGACGACCTGGGAAGATTTAGCAGTTTTGTGGTCAGTTGCAACTTTTGCTTTTCGTCTGTTTCCCAAGAGCGAATTTTGACCAGCACAAGACATGAAAAAATATCTAGGAAATCTTTCAACTGCTCCAGTTCTGAAACAGTTTTATCATACAAAGTAATCTCAAGAACCTTCACAGTGCACGACAATGGACGAGTATATAATGAAAAGTGAGCATATCCATCATCATAGTGCAAGGGACCCTGAAACAAATAAAAGGGAAAAGAATTAGAGATTGTACGACTTTGGGGTTTTGAATATTTTGTTTGTCCAATAAGAATATATACATTGATGACAAGAGTCTCTAGATTTGGAGACTTGTTCAGCAGTAATGCCAGGGCTAGCCAGCAGTAACTAGACGTTACTGTAATGGATAAGTGAAGTAGGTTCTTGAAAACTGGGATTGTTTTCTGGCAGGTATATATGGTCTGAAAGTAAACAAAAAAATTAATTATCCAAGCAATTGCAATCCTTAAATCAAAATATCAAGAAACAAATTTATCTTGTGCTTTCTCAAATTGCAATAATATATCACAAAGACAAAAAAGAAAAGTAAAAGAGAATATAGCACACTTACCTCCATGGTTTTTTGAGTCGACAAGTTGAGGATCTGAACGTTTCTTAACCCTATAAACAGATTCTCTTGACTGCCATAAACAAGACACGGTGATGAAACAAGATTGAGCTTAGCTTTAACAAGCGAGTCAAGGTTAACAATTGGATACTCTTTCGGAACACAAGAAAAGTAGTCTAAGTAGTTAAGACCAGGTGTATCAAAACTAATGGTCGTCCTCGTCCCGGAAATATGCCCCCCAAAAGATTCAAAACCAAGACAGTGCAAAGTAAGTCTTTGAAGGGTCCGGCAGGAAACATTGACATGTGTCCGGCCCACAGAGTCCAAGTTATGCATCACCAATTCCTCAAGCACAGGGAAAGCAGAGAGAAGGGCTTCAAATGGGCAACGATGAGGGTTAGAGATCCGAATACAGTCAAGGAAGAGAGTCTTAAGAGCTGGGAGAGAAGCATTCTCAGGAATCGTATTAATGACAAACGATCTTCCTAGTTTCAGTTTAACGAGTGTCTTGCAAGTGAAGACCTCTAGAGACAGTGAAGTCACACCTCTAGAGATTACGTCAAGATGAAGACGAGCCAAGGCACCACGACTCAGCACGTTACATATCCAACGGTTGGTATGATCTGAGACAACACAGTCTCGATATTTCAGAGAGAATTTCTTTATCGGGGAATTGCCTGACGTAGCCAATACTCTATCCAAGAAATCTCTGAAACTGCTTGGAATGTCAACATCAGAGTATCCATTGACAAAGTCGTTTTCTTCAAAGCGAAGATTTGGTGTGAAAGCAAACAGATACCGCCATCTCTTTGAGAGAACACAAGACAAAGCAGCTTCCCTCGTCGTGAGAAAGGACAAGATGTGGCATGCAATCTCATCAGGTAGATTGCTGATACAACCCATTCCTTTTTGCCAAGCCCTAGAAAAACCCTAATCACTTAATTACTTCTTGAATAAAGTGGTGGAGGATTATTCTTTACGCGTATACTCAAAGAAGAAAACGCAGCGTTTTGTTAGGTTGTGGAGCAAAAACAGTAAAAACGCAGCGGTTTGTTAGGTGGTTCGACACATTGTTAAGACAAATGCTTTTTGATCGTCTAAAATTTCTTAAACCAATTGTTTGTCATTTTCATGATAAGAATATCAAATCCTTGAATGGATGGATGTTTTTGTTTTCGTGTTTAATGAAAATAGTTTTTAGATTCTTTTAGCACGAATGAAAACATACAGACAAAAACTCAGCTAGTTTCGTGGAAATTAAAAATGATAGCCTTCAATATCTTAACTGGATGAGATGATGAGTTGCTAAGTTTTAAAAACAAAAAACGAAACACAAAAATAGTTGCCATTTAAGTTTCCTGTTATGTATGCCTCTATTGAAGAATCTGTGTGTCTTATCTGAAATGAGATGGAGAGACTAGTCATGTCAAGAGTCCCAAGTTCTAATTTTCTCTGGAATGTAGAGGGAGAACAGTTTGAAGATTTAATTAACCAACGGTCGAATTGCTGGAAAAATGTATTTGTTGGCTAAATAAGACATAAACAAAGAAAAACCTAGAGCAAAATCCATCAGAGAGCAATTAGCTAAAAGCAAGAGAGTGCACACAAAACAGATTCATGTTCCAACAGATCAACTAGGAGGGAATAAACTCGAACTGGATCTCGCACTTGGACGATCTGGGAAGATTTAGCACTTCTGTGGTCAGTTGCGACTTTTGGTTTTCTTCTGTTGCCCAAGAGCGAACTTTGAGTAGCTCAAGACATGACAATTTCTCTAGGAAATGTTTCAGCTGCTCCAGTTCTAAAACGATTTTCCCATACAAGCTTATCTCTAGGATCTTCACAGTGCATGACAATAGACAAGAGTATCCTGACAAGCACTCGCAAACAGACTCCCTTTGTTCAAATAGAGAAGGACATCCTTCATAGTGCAAGGGACCCTGAAAAAACAAAAACAAAAAACAGGAAAAGGATTAGAGATTGGAAGACTTAGGGTTTTGAATTTTTTTTTGTTTGTTCAATAGAAAGATATATATATATATATATATATATACATTGATGACAAGAGTCTCTAGATTTGGAGACTTGTTCAGTAGTAATGGCAGGGCTCGCCAGCAGTTGTTAGGCGTTGTTGTAATAGATAAGTGAAGTAGGTTCTTCAACACTGGGATTGTTTCCTTGTAACCATATATGGTCTGAAAGTAAAACAAATTCAACAAGTCATCAACCAACTGAAATTGAAAATATATTACAAAGACAGAAAGATAAATAAATAAATAGAGCACACTTACCTCCAAGGTGTATGGAGTCAACAAGTTGAGGATCCGTACATTTCTTAACCCTATAAAGAGATTCTTTAGACTGTAGTAATAAGGAGGATACAGTGGTGAAATAAGACCAAGCTTAGCTTCAACGAGGGAGTCAAGTTAACAACTAGATACTCTTTCGGAACATAACCATAGTAATCTAAGTAGGCAAGACCAGGTGTATCAAATCTAATGATCCGGGAACTAGATTCAGCAGCACGATAAACCAAAGGACAGTGCAAAGTAAGTCTTTGAAGGGTCCGGGAGGAAACTTTGAAATGTGTTCCGCCCACTGAGTACAAGTTACGCATCACCAATTCCTCAAGCACAGGGCTAGCAGAGAGAAGGGCTTCAAATGGGCAACGGTGACGATTAGAGGTCCGAATACGATCAAGGAAGAGAGTCTTAAGCGCTGGGAGAGAAGCATTCTCAGGAATCATATCGATAACAAAATCTCTTCCTAGTTTCAGTTTAACGAGTGTCTTGCAAGTGAAGATCTCTAGAGGCAGTGAAGTCAGACCTTTAGAGATTACGTCAAGATGATGACGAGCCAAGGCACCACGACTCAGCACGTTACATATCCAACGGTTAGTATGATCTGAGACAACAGAGTCTCGATATTTCAGCGAGAATTTCTTTATCGGGGAATTGCCTGACGTAGCCAACACTCTATCCAAGAAATCTCTGAAACTGCTTGGAATGTCAACATCAGAGCTTCGATAGACAAAGTCTTTTTCTTCAAAGCGAAGATTTGGTGTGAAAGCAAACAGATACCGCCATCTCTTTGAGAGAACAGAAGCCAAAGCAGCTTCCCTTGTCGTGAGAAAGGACAGGATGTGGCATGCAATCTCATCGGGTAGATCGCTGATACAACCCATTCCTTTTTGCCAAACCCTAGAAAAACCCTAATCACGCTTACTTCGCTTCAAGTACTCATAGCGATTCTCTCACACCCGATGCAAAATCTACGTTGCAAAGTACATAAATCGATCTTTAAGGATTAGAGTGAAAAAATATGTAAATATTTTATTGTTTAGATTCTCTTTGCCGACTCTAATGATCATATCTTACAAGATTTATATAGTTTGTTGTAACAGACACAAGTTATTATGAAACCTCCAAAGTTTGTTGGAAAACCGCAAATTTTAGTTTGGTTGTGTCCGGTTAATTTCCCAATTAAACCAAAACAATAGATCCGATTATACATGATGTTACCCAATTTATGAATTTAACCAATTGTTGAGTAAGAAACTTTCTTCCAATCTTTTAATTTGAAGGTCCGATTATATACATGATGTTACCCAATTTAACCAATTTTTGAGTAAGAAACTTTCTTCCAATCTTTTAATTTGAAGGTAAAATGCTTTCGAATTTGATTTGATTTGGTTCGGTTCGGTTTGTGTATTAAGTTTGAAATCCGGTTCACAATCCAGAACCGGTGATATGATCATTTGAAGATGAGCCAAGCCAAAGCGGCTTTGCAAACTCTTCTCTCTCAATTTGGATCCTCACATCTTCGCCTCTCTCGAAATCCCCTCAATTTGGGTCTTCGACTTCGCATCTGTACCAAGGTAGGTTCCCAAGCTAACTAATCTCTTCTGCTTCTGCTGATTTTTCCTTCTCCCAGTTGAAGGCATTTTAGTTCAAATTTCGAAATCAATTTCCTTTTGGTTGATTCCTATCTACTCTGTTAAATGGGTTAAATCTCGTATTCGAATCAATCGCTCCACCAGTAAGCTTATACGTAATTACATCCACTTGCCCTGTTTTTCACTGAATGCAGAAAATGTTTGGTTGATATTCCCAAAAGAAAGCTTCGACCTTCGTGTAGTTTAAGAGGATATGGATCTCTTCAGCAATCTACCAAATGAGCTCCTTTGTCATATTTTGTCCTTCATGACGACAAAGGAGGCTGCTTTGACATCGGTTCTCTCTAAAAGATGGCGCAATCTGTTTGCATCCGTCCCTAATCTCGACCTCGACGACTCAATCTTTCTGCATTCCGAAGAGGGTAAACGGGAAAAGCCAGGAATCCTTCAAAGCTTCATGGATTTTGTGGACAGAGTTTTGGCACTGCAGGGTGATTCTCTCATGAAGAAGTTCTCCCTCAAGTGTAAAACTGGTGTTGAATCAGTCCGTGTGGACCGTTGGATACATAACGCGCTGCAGCGCGGTGTTTCGGAGCTTGATCTTTTCATTGAACTCGATAGTTTCTATTGGCTGCCTCAAGAAGTGTCTCTTAGTAAGACACTCGTTGAGCTGAGAGTAGGAAGTGGATTTGATCTTCACTGGTGGCCTTTGGATATATCCTTACCGATGCTTAAAACGCTTCTTCTTGACTCGAGCGGGTTGCATTGTGGTCAGTATCAAACGCTTTTCCTTGGTTGCCCTGCGCTTGAAGTGTTGGACTTGACTAATATGCAGTGGTGTGATCACAATGTGACTGTGTCAAGTCCGGTCCTCAAGGAGCTAACGATCGATTTCCATGGTTTAACTAACGTGGTTCCTCTGACGAGCCTCTCGTTTGATGCTCCGAGTCTTGTTTACCTTTATTACTCTGATTCTCTTGCGGAGGACTATCCAGAAGTTAACTTGAATAAAGTTGTGACGGCTCATGTCAACCTTGTGTTAACTCAAGGTCAAATCGAGCAAGCAAGATCGCTGAATAATGATGTGGCTGTGGATGATGCTTTTGCTGGTCTTGGTAATGTGTGGAAGCTCGTTGCTGGGATAAGAAATGTTCAAGAACTTCACTTGTCTCCTGATACACTTGAGGTGCTTTCTAGGTGCTGTGAAGCTATGCCGGTGTTCAATAACCTCAAACTGTTGGTTATAGGGAGTGACATGAATCGGGGATGGCAAGCAATGCCTGTTCTTTTGAGGAACTGTCCACATTTAGAAACTCTAGTCATTGAGGTAGCAACTATGATCTATGAAAACTATATAGTCCAGAGGAAGAAAGCATGTCAATAACGTTGTTGTGTTGGCTCGTTTATATGGTTTCAGGGTCTTTTGCACTATGTGACGGACAAATGTGGGGATGCTTGTGACTGCATTTCCCGGGACGACGTTTCTCAGGAGGAGAAAGGCCGTTCGCTCAAGTCTTGTCCGGTGAAGGTGATGGTTATATATGAGTTTGGAGGAACAATGAGAGAGTTTGAAATGATTAGGCATTTCTTGGATTACTTTCCGTGTTTGAAGGAGATGGTTATATATGGTGCAGAGAGTAGTCCTGCACTGTTGAAAGACCCTGAAATGTTTGAACTTGTGGGGAAGATGATGTATCTCTACAATACGTTATCGAGTTGCAATGTTCAGATGCTGGTGCCAAGTGAAGTGGACTGCACTGTGAAGTCAAAGTCGGAGTAATCGTAGCTTATTGCTTTTGCAGTTCAGTTGGCTTGAAAACTGTCTCAAACCAAACCAGTCGCAAAACATGAATCTGTTTCCATTGTTTTTCTTTCTCTCTTTTGTTCGAATTTCTTCATTGTCTTTGCCTTCATCTTACCAACTTTTGTCTTGGGATTGGTTTGAATTGTTTTCTCGAACAACAATTTGTTCAATGGATTTTTTTAGTTTGCCTTTTTACCTGATCTAATAATCTTACTTGGAAGTGACAAATCTTACTTTGGATTCTCAGTTACATTTTGGGTTCTTATTGCATATACCTTCACGTGTTATACTCTGCAAGTTTTCAAAATATTATATTAGCTTCCTTGTGCAAAACCTTTAAGACTGTCAATAAAACTCATTGATTTGGCTATGTCAAGGTTTGAAAACCGGTCAACCAACCACTTAACAGCTGTAGTTTCTGTCTGGTTTGACTCAGCCTGCCACGTGGAAGTGACGTACTGCCTACAATAAATGTCAGTGGACGCTTCGTCTTCTGTCTTCCCAAAAGCTTTTGGATGTCTTCTTGAACCGAAAGGTCTTTTTGAGGATTTTCTACTTCATTCGCATCTGTATCAAAGGTAGGTAACGAGTTTTCTCATCTCTTTGGCTAGCAAAATTTTTTGTTTTGTTTTCGTAATGGAGATTCGAAATATTAATTTTCTCGGTTTATATATTTTTTGCAGTGCGTCTTTTTCGGTTTGAGTTTGGCAAAAACGATGGATAGAATCAGTAGTCTACCAAATGAAATGATTTGTCACATTGTATCATTCCTTTCTGCAAAAGAAGCTGCTTTCGCAACACTTCTCTCAAAGAGGTGGCAGAATCTCTTTACCATCATACCAACTCTTCGTTTCGAGAACAGTCAAGGGAGCTTCACTGATTTCTTGGACGGAGTATTGGCTTTACCGGCCAGTTCACGCATTAGGAAATTCTCTCTAATATTTTCCAGTCCTGTTGAGCCAGCTCGTTATGTTCATGTCAACCGTTGTCTCTGTTATGTTCTGAAGAGTGGCGTCTTGGATCTCGAATTCAACATAAACGCTAAAGAAGGATATTTATTGCCATCAGATATCTTCACTTGCAAGACAGTTGTTAAGCTGAAACTAGGAAGCGGGTTTGGTATTGATTTCCTCCCTGAGAATGCTTTACTTCTTGCGCTTAAGACACTCTTTCTTCGTTCAGTTCGGTTCTACAGTCTTTGTGGTTGTTCGTTCCATAAGCTTCTCTCTGCTTGCTCTGTTCTTGAGGAACTAACCATATATGATGTGTCGTGGGAAAAATGGCAGTGGTCTCACGTTGTGTCTAGTCCAACTCTTCAGAGACTAAGTATTAGACGTGCAGAGTATTCTGGTTTTGATGGGTCCTCTTTTGGCGGCATTAGTTTCGACACTCCAAGTCTTGTCTTCTTACGGTGTGATGATTTTGTTCCGGCAGAGTATCCAAGTGTTAACTTTGACTCACTTGTCGAAGCCCAGCTCGATCTTATTCTGACTGTAGATCACGTTTGGGCTATAAACGAAAATGATCCTATCACAAGTGACCCTACTAATCTGATTAGGGGGTTAAGAAATGTTCAGATCCTGGATTTCACAGCACCTGACACTAAGGAGGTAAAGTGTGTTATTGTTTCATGCGTGTATCATAAGTTCCATAGCATCTAAAAATGACTAGTTTGGTTTTAAATGATTTCAGATGTTTTATCTCTTCCGTGAAGCAATCCCAGTGTTTGAAAGCCTGCATCGTTTATCTTTCTCAACTGATGACGTGAAAAATTGTTGGCCACTCTTTCCGGTTTTGCTAAAGAAGACTCCAAATTTGAAGACCCTCGTCATCGAGGTATGTCCAAAATCCTGGAATGATTATTTGACAAACCGCTATTACTTACTTAAACCGTGTATAGTGTAGAAATGTAGAAGTTTATTTCCTCCCTCTTGTTTCAGGGTCCATTGCATTGCGCTGAAGATGAAGAAGTATCCCACTCTATTTGCGAGTGCTTGTCAGGGTATTCATGTTTATTGTCATGTCCGGTGGAGGTTTTGAAGATCAATCGTTACACAGGAGCTATCAACGAGTTGGAGCATTTCAAGCATTTTTTAGGGAAATTGTCGTGTCTTAAGTTGGTCAAAGTTCGTGCTCGCTCAAATACTTGGCTAAGAAACATGGACGAGTTGCAAATCACCTCTGATTTGCTAATGATTCCCAGAGCTTCGGTTGACTGCAAGATACAGGTCAAGTTTCATTGAAAACTAATGGATGCATGAGAGGCACAAACATTAAACATTGGTCGTACTAGTTTCAAAAGTCTGTTGGAACCTTAAATCTGCTTTTGCACACACTTGTTTTTGTTCATCTCTCATATCGGAGTTTGCTTATTAACGTGTTTTCTATTTGACTTCTCACACAATTAATTTGCTTTAATGGGTTGTCTCAGTTTACGTCACTAATGATCTTGTATCAAGTGACAAACATTGCTCACAAATAACAACCACAATAGAAAGGCACCAAGAATATACATACTAAACACGTCCAATGGGGTTTGAGAGAGAGAGAGAGGCTATGAGCCAAGCAGCTTCTTCCACTTGGCGTAACCAAGAGTGGCCATGAAAAGCACAATGCAAAACGCAGAAATACTCCACACAAAGTGCCCAAAGACGCCCTGCATATCGTACAACGGACAATGTATGTTCATCCCGAACAAGCTCGCCAACAACGTCTCTGCAGTTATCGCAAACGAGGCCATGGTCAGTATCAGCTGCAGCTGGATCAGCTCGTTACGTTGATTGTCGAGCTGTATGTTCACGTAGTCCTCCGTGTCGTCAATGTACTCTCTCACCGTAAGAATCTTGTTCCTCATCCCCTCGAGCTGCATAAAATACGCCTCCAGCAACATCTCCAGATCCTCCACGTCGTCTTCATCCATGTTGCTAGTCACCATACTCGCGCTTCGGTTCGATGATGTAAGCCGGTGAAGATTCGATGCGACGATGCTGTTTGTTGCTGTCCCGGCAAGTATCGCCTCCGTTTGCTGGTTCTGGTTCCATTTCCTCGTCAAGTACAAGTCTGCCATGTCTTCATTGTCATCCAGCAAATGCTCAAGCTCATCCCTAACCTGAATAACGTAAACAACAAGCTTTATGATTTCGTCGGTCCATCACACAAACATTTACAGCAACATTTGGAAAATGAAATGTAATACCTTTTGTACACGGGCTAGTAAGCGGGTGAGATTACTTTTCAAGCTTCGTACGTATTCAAGATTCTCAGTGCTGACGTTCTTGGTAAGCTCATCAAGAACAGGCCAAGCTTCTGTCTCAAGAGCTTCGACACTAGTCTCAACAATTTGGCAGACAACCTCTAGTGCGATCTCCAGGACTTGAAATTCGAAAGGAAGCTCACTCTGCAAACCCTCTGAAGATTCTGGATCGAGAGGAGGTTGTTGTGCATTCCCAGAAGCTTCGAGTGAGTTCCTCTGAGGAAACTGTTGCTTTAGTCTGTCAATGAGTGGAAGAACTTCAGGACGAAGAGGATCCAAAATCAATACTTCTTCTGCTGTAACTATTGCCTTTATCACCTCTAAATTCACAACAATTGCTTTCTCCCTCGCTGCAGAGCAACGCAAAGGTGTTAAATTCCTTCTAAGGAATTGAATTGAAATTGAAATTGAAGAGCTACAAAGTCTCACCGAGAATGTTAGAGGAGTGAGAGAAAACAGGGCCAAGGATTCTCAAATCCCTAGCGGGAACGGAAGCGCGTTTGATGATTGTGCTCTTATCGCATTCAACGACCTCCATAGCCCCAGTCCGATCAAACCTCATCCACAGCCTCGCTCCTCCGGTTTTCTTCTTCGCCTTTCCAACAACCGGTGCTCCTGAATTGATCGGAGGAGGAGGCGGTGGGGATGAAGTCGCCGATACCTGGGCGTCATCTTTTACCGAAGAGCCCTTCTTCCGGTGGCGGATGCTCGTGAGACGCCGAAACGACAAAGGGCCCTTCCCCATCGCGGATCTATAATTGATCCTAAATCAGTTTCCTCTGCGCTGCTCCGGTGGATGGAGAAGAAATCGCCGAGCTCATCCGCGTCTACTTGGCTCTCTCCGATTTCGACGGACCCTTCCTCTGCCATAAACGCCAGTGGGAGGAATAGGGTTCTTCGTATTGGCAGAAAAGTCAAGATATTTTATGGATTTGAAACCGTGTCGTTTTAACGGAATAAAAAAATACACAGAGCGGAACTTTCACGCCGCATGTCTCTTCACTCTACGTGACGTGGCAGTGGCACACTCAAGTAACTTGGTTTGACGTCTGAACCGGGTTGGTTAAGTAAGGTTTTAATTTCTTACACAATTAACTTTGAGTAAAGACGACGACGACCAAGAACAACTCAATCTAAATTGGTGAAAACAAGCCATCAATGATACATAATTCGGTACAAGAAAAAGAAAAAGAAATTACGGTATTGCGATTGGTTTGGTTTGAGACGGTTTTCAAGCCTATTAGACAAAATTAAACTATGGGATGGTTTCAATTCTTATGCAAATAATCATTCACCAGGAGGTGGATATTGCAAGTCGATAACTTGTTGTAGAGTTCGAACATCTCCAAGACAAGTTTAGACACTTCATGGTTTCCAAGCTGTGTAGGATCTTTCTCCTCAACGTAGATCTTCATCTCCTCCAAACATGGAAAATAGTCCAAGAAATGCTTTATCATGTGCATCTCTTTCATTGTTCCTCGAAACCCATGGATCTCCAACTTTTTCACTGGACAAGTTGCGAGTGAACTGCCTTTGTCCTCCCGAGAAACGCAGTCACAAGCATCCCCGCACTTATCTGTCTCATGGTGCACGAGACCCTGAAACACCATAAAAGGAGACCATCAAAGATTCAAACACTATGAACTCTCTACTTTCTCTATGTTTTTGCAAATGAGTTGGTTTTGTACCTCAAAGATTATAGTTTTTAAATGTGGACAGTTCCTTAGAAGAACTGGCATTGCTTGCCATCCTCGTTCCTTGCTACTCTTAATATATAAGGATTTGAGGTTGTTGAAAACTGGCATCGATTCACAACATAAAGAAAGCACCTGAAAACATGACAACACACAGCTAAACATTTCAGAATTACATGTTTCAAAACTGTATTGAGACCAAAAAAACAAAAAAAAACATGACTAAATTGAGACCAAGACCAGCTGAAAAAAGCATTCCAAGAGAGAGAGAGAGAGAGAGAGAGAGAGAGAAGTGACCTCAAGAGTATCAGGAAACAAGTCAAGATGCGGAACATGTTGTACGCCATGAAAGAGCTTCCAGACATTACTATATCCGAGAGCATCTTCTTCGTCAAACCAATCATCATCATCATCTGGTTCTCTAACTTGCTTGATCTGATCTTCACTTAAGAAGAAGTTGATTCGAGCATCGAGTAAGCTTTCCATATTGACTACCGGATAGTCCGATGCGACATAACCAGAGTACTCAAAGTAAACGAGTCTCGGTGTATCAAACGACAAAGAGCTTGAGACATCGCTTAGCTTTATTGTCAGGGTCTTGAGGCTTGCACTTGAGACGGTCACATCCGTATCTTGCCAGGACAAATCAACCAGGTCTAACTCCTCAAGGGCAGGCAGAGCATGAAGAAGAGCCTCAAACTCACCAGAACAAACCCGAACCGAGTCAAGAGTGAGAGTCTTAAGCAACGGTAAGCAAACCCGACCAGCGACCCAACGAACATCAATCCCACAGACCAATCTCAGGTTAACCAGTGTGCTGCACTCGAAACACTTTGGAGACAGCTGATAGTTGTCTTCTTCATCCATGTCCAGAATGACTGTTAGATCAAGGTCCGAAACACCACGTGCCAACACACTACGCATCCAGCCATCCACACGGTCTGAATCAACGCCGTTTAGACACTTGAGGGAGAGTTTCTTTAGCGGAGAATCACCCTGCAGGGCCAATATCCTATCCACAAAATCCATGAAGCTCTGTTTCATTTCGTCGCTTTCCCCTTTACCCTCTCCGGGATACAGAAACACAGAGTCGTCAATATCGAGATTAGGGACAGAGGCGAGCAGATTGCGCCACTTCTTGGCGAGAATCGATGTCAAAGCAGCCTCCTTCGTCGTAAGGAAAGACAAGATATGGCTGAGAAGCTCGTCTGGTAAACTGCTAACACGATCCATCTTCTCTGCACGGAAGAACAACAAGTATACTAAATTACGCAAATCTCAAAGCTTTTATTAGAACAACAGCGTTACATGACTACAAATGCAATTGATTCTAACATGAAATTTAACAGAGGGAAACCCAGAAATCTACCTCGTTGCAAATGCTTAATCCAACACCCAAATTAAGGACTTTCAGTGAAGGCGCACAGTGACAAAGACTGAGAAATGCTTAATCGCTGGTTTCTATAGAAGAAAAAGCAAAAAGCCAGTGGAAGAGCAGAAAGCGAAATCGAGGTCAAGTGTGAATATATGATGGTTAAATCCGGTTCTTAAAATGTAACTGGTTTTGTTCGATGGTTTTCTTTAGATTTTGCTTCCATGACCAAAATGAAACCGTAACCGTATTTGGACCGTAACAGTACCGTTTTTAAACCGTAACCGGACCGTAACCGTATAAACTGGTTAAAACCGTAACCGTTAACCGTAAAAAAATATTAGTTATGGTTAAAAAAAATATTAACCGTAACCGCAATTTAACCGTAACCGTATAAAAACCGTTGGTTAACCGCAAGGTTAAAACCGTTTCATTTTAACCGTAACCGTCTAAAATATTCTATTAAATACAAAAATAATTAACTATGACATGGAGAAATAAATAAAATATAGAAATAATTAACTTGAATATTATATTTTGCTAAGTTTTAGTTAAATTCAAAAAGTAAAATCTAATTAAAACTAGAAAATATAGTATAGCCATTAAGTAATAAGATTATTAGATAAATATGATTTTGACATGATTATAAAGGTAATGAAGCCATTCCTTTTCAAACTGTTTTGACAAAAGATTTTATAAGTTTATTTCCACCTTTTTAGTAACAAATAAACACACGTTGCCCACTTTGTAGTAACCACCTGACTAATTTTTTAAAAACTTTATTATTGTAATAATAATTCTCAATATGAGATTAATAATTATATTTTCTTTCAGAAATTTATATACATTAATAATTTTTTTAATTTATCTCTTTCACATATGTTAATGAAAATTTTAACATTGTTCTGTATTTTATAATATTTATTTAATCATAAACCGTATTATTAACCGTATTATAGTTATAACCGTAGCTAACCGTAACCGTACTAACCGGATTGATATTTAACCATAACCGTATTAACTGTATGTTAAATGGTTAAGGTTAAGGTTAACAAAATTTCTAACCGTAACCGGTGGTTAAATAACCTTAACCGTGATAACCGTAACCGTGGTCATGCCTACTTCTGAGAATTTTAACCACGGTCTGTTATTTGTCTATGGCTGTTTTGCTCGTCAAACCAAAAAGAAAATTAGGTTATGAAATTGGTTTAATTTGGGTTTGGGCCGGTTCTCAACCAAAAGAGGAATCATTTAAACACAATCCCATGACAAAGTTTGGTAAGATTCAACGCAAAGACAATGAGCAAGCTCTAACAAAAGGTTAAAACAATGGAAATCAAACAGATTCAGGATGAGCAAGTTTTGTTCTTCTTCAGAAATGTGGCAGACGTAATCCTTGTTCATCCCACTTCTTATTCAAGGCTTCACTCACCAGGAGCTGGACATCGCAGCTCGATGAGATGTTGTAGAGTTCAAACATCTCCAAGACAAGATCAGACACTTCACGGTTCCTGAGCTGTGTCGGATCATCCTCGTCAATAAAGACATCCATCTCCTCCAAACTCGGGAGATAGTCCAAGAGGTGCTTAATCATGGTCATCTCTTTCATCGTTCCTCGAAACCCTTGAATCACTATCTTTTTCACCGGACAAGATGTCAGTGAACCACCTTTGTCCTCCCGAGGAATGCATGGACAAGCGTCTCCACATTTATTTGTCACATGATGCAAAAGACCCTGAAACCATAAAACGAGCCAATAAGGTTACTGTAAAATAGGAAGAAGCATGTAAGTTTCATGGTCCCACTAACCTTAAAGATGATAGTTTCTAAACGAGGACAGTTCCTTAGAAGAACAGGCATTGCTTGCCATCCACGATCCTTGTTACTCGTAACAACGAATGATCTGAGGTTGTTGAACACCGGCAGCGAATTATAGCATGGAGAAAGCACCTGAAAAACAAGAAAAAAACGACATTTTGCAATTAATGATTCACAACTAGACCAGAAAGAAGATAACAAAATTATAAAACTAACCTCGAGAGTATCAGCGAAGAAGGTAATTACGTGAGCATTTCGTATGCCATAGATGAGCGACAACACATTGACGAACCGGAGAACAAAACCCTCATCAATCTCTAACAAATCATTATTTGGCGCTCTTAATCTTCTGATGTCATCCTCAGTTAGCATAAGATTGATTTTAGCCGCAATTATATTTCTCATCTTGACCACTGGATAGTCATCGGCAAGTAGACCAGAGTAGTCTAAGTAGTACAGACTCGGAGTGTCAAACGAAACGCTCTTCGGATTTACAAACTCTTCACCACCGGTGACGGCGCCGTGGAGAGTTAGCTTCCTGAGGCTTGCACTTGACATGTTCACATCATCGAGAGAGAAATCAGTGGAAACACTAAGCTCCGAAACGCCACGCTGCATCACATTGCTTATCCAACGTTTCACAATATCTTGATCGACACCGGTTATACACTTGAGGGTGAAATTCTTGATAGGAGCATCACCCTGCCTAGCGAGGACACTGTCCACGAAATCAACGAAGCTCTGTCGAATTTGTTCTCTTTGGCCTTTACCTTCTTCCGGATGATGAAAGACAGAGTCATCGATGTCGAGATTGGAAACGAGTTTCCAGAGATTGAGCCATCGCTTTGAGAGTGCCGATGTTAAAGCAGACTGCTTTGTTGGGAGAAGAGACAGTATTAGACAAAGCACCTCGTCTGGTAGATTGCTGATACGGTCCATCTTCTCTTCAGAGAAAAGCAATTGGAATAGAGAGAGAGAAAAAAACCTAGTTAACAACGAAAATCGGAATCCGCTCAAATGAAACCTTGAACTAAGGAAACCCCAAAAAGAGAAACAATAGAAGTAGAAGAGATGAGAAAGCTTCAGCATTTACCTTGTTACAGATGCTTATCCCAAGACCCAAATTGAGGGGTTTCAGTGAACGCCGGCGAGAAGAGAGAAAGAGGGAGAGAGGGAGAGAGAGAGAGAGGCTTAATTCGGTTACAGTGAGAATGTTGGTTCTATTGTATCCGGTTTAATTCATTAAACAAACCGGGATTGTTTCGTTTTGTTTTGGTTCTAATTGTTTTGGCCTCAGTAGGTTTGGTTTGGGACGGTTTTCAACCAATAACCTGGAGGTCTTTCTGGTTTAGAGTGTGAATTTCGTCACTGAGAAGAGAAATTGAGAAAAATGTTAAGTCTTACTTACATATATAAATAACCAAACTTTGTCACTTCAAGTAAGATTATTGGATCAGCTAAGAAGTCAACTAACAAAAGCCATTGAACAAATTGCTGTTCGAGAATTTAATTAAAACCAATCGCACGACAAAAGATGATAAGGATGAAAGCAATGACAAGGAAGAAACTCTGACAAAAGATAAAAAGAAACAATGGAAACAGATTCAGGTTTTGCGATTGGTTTGGTTTGAGACAGTTTTACAATATTTAACGGGAAATGACAGATTCTAAGAGAAGTTTAGCAAAACCATGAGCAAGTTTAGTTTCGTTCTTCAGATATATCCTTGTGCAGTAAGCTTCTCATCCAAGAAATCACTCGCCAGGAGCTGGACATCGCAACTCGATAACTTGTTGTAGAGTTCAAACATCTCCAATACAAGGTTAGACACTTCACGGTTTCTGAGCTGTGTAGGTTCATGCTCTTCAATATAGATCTTCATCAACTTCAAACAAGGAAGATAGTCCAAGAAGTGCTTAATCATGGTCATCTCTTTCATTGTTCCTCGAAACCCTTGAATCTCTATCATTTTCACCGGACAAGATGTCAGTGAACGACCTTTGTCCTCCCAAGATATACAGGGACAAGCGTCTCCACATTTATCTGTGACATGATGCAAAAGACCCTGAAAAAATAAAGGAGACAATAAGGTTATTGTATATAGGAACAAGCATCTTTATCACATGGTTTCATTTTCCCTTAATAATTCTACCTGAAAGATTATAGTTTCCAAATGTGGACAGTTCCTTAGAAGACCAGGCATTGCTTGCCACACACGATTCGGCTCACTCGTAACACCTAAGAATATGATGTTGTTGAACACAGGCATCGATTCACAGCATTGAGAAAGCACCTGAAAACAAAGAAAAAACCAGCTGGAAATTTCGTAACTAATGTTTCACAACTAACAAGACAAGAAAGACCAAAACAGAAAACAAACCTCGAGAGTATCAGCAGGCAAGCAAAGTTTCCGAACATTGCGTATGCCATACATGAGCTTCACCACATTGCCAAAATGGAGAACAACATCACCTTCCTCAGCTTCACCATCCTTTAACTCCTCATCATCATCAAGTGTCCCTCTCAACCGCTTGATCTGACCATCAGTCACTATAAGGTTGATCCGAGCCTCCAACAAATTCTCCATATTAACCACTGGATAATCTTCCGCAACCAACTCAGAGTAGTTCAAGGAAAGCAGACTCGGTGTATCAAAAGAAAAGCTCTTTGGATTTTGCCAGAACTTCATCGGTTCACAACCGGTCCCGTGGAGACTCAGCTTCCTGATGCTTTCACTCGACACGGTTACATCCAACTCCGGCCACTCCATGTTAGACATTCGCAAATCCTCAAGCGCAGGGAAAGAAGGAACAAACTCCTCAATCTCACCACAGAATATAACCTCAGAGTTGATGTCGAGTTTCTTAAGCATTGGTAGTGAAGAGCCCATATCTGGATGCCACCAATCAACGCAGTTTTCACTTCTCAACCTAAGCGTAACCAGTGTCTTACTACAGAACATCTCTTCAGGCAGACGATAGCCATCTTCGTCGGTGTTCGTGTAGGAAAAATCAGTGTTTAGAGTAAGGTCCGAAACACCACGCTGCACCACGTTGCGTATCCAACGGTTCACGATATCTGGATGGATACCAGTTATACACTTGAGGGTGAATTTCTCTACGGGGGAATCACCCTGCCTAGCGAGGACACTGTCCACGAAATCGACGAAGCTCTGTCGAATTTCGTCCCTTTCTCCTTTACCTTTTTCCGGATGAGGAACGAGTTTCCAGAGATTGAGCCATCTCTTTGAGAGCGCCGATGTTAAAGCAGAGTCCTTTGTTGGGAGAAGAGACAAGATATGACACAGAACCTCGTCTGGTAGATTGCTGATACGATCCATCTTCTAAGTATGAGAGTAAAAGTCAAAAGTCGAGAAATTGGAGGGAAATATGCAGGCGTGTCGATAAGATAAAGCAGAATGGTTGGAATTTAACAGCTTAGGCCTTAGAGAAATGAGAACAGAGTAAAACTAACTTAACTACACTAATAGAAATGCACCCGAAAGAAGCTTTGAGATAAGAAATCCGTAAAAACAGAGAGAGGATTGAATCGGAAGAAACAGAAGAGATGAGTAAAGTTGGGAATCATCTACCTCGTTTCAAACGCCAACTCAGAGTCAGAGACCCACAATTTAGGGTTTCCAGTGAATTGCACTACAAGCGAAGGGTAGAGAATAAAGTCCCAGGCTTTTCAGGGCGACAAGACATGCAACTGCATCTCGGATAATCTGAACCGAGACATCCAGTTTTTAAGAGGCAGACAAGAGACGGCGAGTGTAGCAGTGTGAAATGTGAATCACCCGTTTAATTCAGTATTACCAAACGGGACTGTTTCAATATCACCGGTTGGTTCTCTCAAATCACCGGTTTAATGGATTTAAACCGGTGGTAATCAATACAATCTTTGGTTTGATCGGTCAAGAAGTCTAGTGAGAGAAAACCCACGAGGCAAATTATTGTTGAGAGAACCCCACGAGGCAGATTATTGTTGAGAAATCAATCCAAAAAAGAACACGACAGAAGATGGCAAGATCAGACAGAGACAGTGAGGCTAGTCTCACAAAAAGATAAAAACAATGTAAACAGATTAAATTCTTGCAATTATTGATTTTGTTTGTGACGGTTTACAAGCCAGCTAAACAAGAAGTAAAAACAAAGTCGAATTCCAAGTTGAGTTTAGCTAAAACTATGACCAACTTTTGTTCTTCAGACGTCTGAGACTTCCTTATGCAGTCCACTTCTTAGACAAGTAATCAATAACTCACCAGGAGCTAGGAGCTGGACATTACAACTCCATATCTTGTTGTCGAGTCCCATCATCTCCAAGACATGATTAGACACTTCACGGTTTCTGAGCTCTGTAGGATCTTTCTCTTCAAAATAGTAGATCTTCATCTCCTTCAAACATGGAAAGTACTCCAAGAAATGCTTTATCATGGTCATCTCTTTCATTGTTCCTCGAAACCCTTGAATCTCTATCTTTTTCACTGGACAAGATGTGAGAGACCGACCTCTATCCTCCCGAGATATGCAGTCACAAGCATCCCCACATTTATCAGTAACATGGTGCAAGAGACCCTGAAACCAACAACGGAAACAATAAGGGATTCAAACTATGAACTCTACTTTCTCTAGCTTTGTACATTTTCTTTTGCAAATGAGTTTCTTTTGTACCTCAAAGATTAGAGTTTCCAAATGTGGACAGTTCCTTAGAAGAACTGGCATTGCTTGCCATCCTCGACCCTCTTCACTCGTAACACATAACGTTTTAAGGTTGTTGAACACAGGCATCGATTCACAGCATTGAGAAAGCACCTGAAAAAGTAACGGGGAAAATCAACCATGAACCTAAACAGCCAAGGAGATATAAAGTAAGAGAGCAAAAAAAAAAATCAGAACTAACTGACCTCGAGAGTATCAGAATCTAAGTGAAGCTTCTCAACATTTAGTATGCCATTCATGAGCTTCACCACTGGGACAGCAACATCATCATCCTCTAACAAATCATTATCTTGCGCTCTAAATCGAGCATCACTCTCTACAAGACTGACTCGAGCCTCCAATAATTTCTTCATGTTAACTAACGGATAGTCGTCTGCAACTATATCAGAGTAGTCCAAGTAAAGCAGACTTGGAGTATCAAAAGAAATGCTATCTGGATTCGAAAAGCCATCATAATCACAACCAATGGCATGGATACTTAGCTTCCTGAGGCTTGCACTTGACACTGTTACATCCGAATCATCCCACTCCACAGTAGCCATTCGCAGTTCCTCAAGTACAGGGAAAGAAGAAATAAACTTCTCAACCTTACCACAGTAAATCCTCTCCGACTCAATACTCAGACTTTTCAGCATTGGTAAAGAAGCTCCCATGTCTTCATGCCACCAATTAACACAAATCTCGCATCCTATTTTCAGATTAACCAGTGTCTTACTGATGTATATCTCGTCAGGCAGCACATAATCAGGTTCGATATCCTTGAAGAAGAAATCAGTGTAAAGGTTAAGATCCGAAACACCACGCTTTAACATATTGCGTATCCAACGGTTCGCATGATATGGATCAAAACCGGTTATACACTTGAGGGAGAGTTTCTTAATCGGAGAATCTCCCTGCAAGGCCATTACTTTGTCCACGAAATCGACGAAGCTCTGTCGAATTTCGTCCCTTTCTCCTTTACCCACTTCCGGATGAAGAAAGATGGAGTCATCAATGTCGAGATCGGGGACATGCGTCCAGAGATTGAGCCATCGCTTTGAGAGAGATGAAGTCAAAGCAGCTTGCTTTGTGGGAAGAAAGGACAATATATGACAAAGAATCTCGTCTGGTAGATTGCCGATCCGATCCATCTTCTGTGCGCGAGAGGAAAAGTCGAAGCAGAGCTCACTAATTACGCAAATCGGAATCAACCCAAATGAAACTGCATCGGAGAAGATAAAGCATCCAACTTTAATTAAGAGGAAGACATGTAGTTGCAAATCGCTTGGCTCGTCAAATCAAAACTGGAAAGAAATTGCTTGGCGATTCAACTTCGAAGATGCGTCGGAAGGTCTGATGATTTTGGCGGAGGAGGTTTACAGAAGAAGGCGGTGGTGTCGCTGAATACAGACGAAGGCGGTGGTTTCATATTGAAATTAAAACCCAAAAGATTATTTTTTTTGTGGTTTCGCTGAAGTTCAGTCGTAGTCAAAACTTGCTTTTTCTCACACATAAAACGTGTAACAAGTGTTGTAAAAAATCTTTCTATCAAAAAAAAAGTGTTGTAAAAAAACTTGAATTAGGAGGAAGCATCATTTGAAAAATACAAAGTAGCCATGTTTGTGTAAAGCAAATATACAAAAAAAAAATTGCTTTTTTGAATAAGTAAAGCAAAATCTTCAAATAATTAAAAAAAAAACCAATATTTTTGCCCAATTTAAAAGCAGAAATTAGTGTATTAATCCTACAAAAAAAATTATTTTTGTGTAAACTCTGTAAAACTATATGCTGCATACCAAGTTTTCGAAATGTTACACCAGAAAATGTTTTATAATATAAACCAAGTTTTTCTTCGAAACACGAGATTATATAATTTTCTTACAGTTTACAAAATAAGAAAAACTTAGTTTACATTATATGTAAAAGATAAAATCAATCTTCCATTTCTAGTGATTACAACAAAAGAAATATCTAGCCATGTCCTCCTCGGTTCCTTCGTCCACTGTTTTGTAAAATGATTAACCAAATCTTCGGTTTAAATTGATTTAAAGAACAAGAGATATATCTAGTCACGTCATCCTCGGTTTCGCCGCCCACTATTTTGGAAAATAATTCACCAAATTTTCCATTTAAATTGATTTAAATAACAAAAAGGAAGAGATACCTAGGTATTTCCTCCTCGATTTCTCCGTCCTCTAGTTTGGAGGATGATTGCATCTCCTTAACCTCGGGCGGTTTCACCCATCTTTCGAGAAGAAATCTCTCTCTCTCTCCTCGCTGGTCGCCTTCAGTGAAACCCATTTTAGTTTTCTACATATCAAAAGGTAATTGACCGTCTAAACTTCTTCTGATTGTATTCTCCTTTAGTCTTCTCATTTAGAGGTATTATTCAATCATATATTTAAAATCAATTTCATGAAATCGATTCAATCGAATATTTTGAATAACATTGGATTTTAAGAGACGATTTGAAATGTTGATTGAATAACAGTAAATTTAAAATTATTTTAGTGGTATTTACAAATAAAATATGATATCCAATAGCGCTAGATTTGAAAACATAATTTAGAATCATTAATTGAATAACACTAAATTGTGACTGGATTTCAGTTCATAGACTTGAAATGGCTTTGCTTTATGTGGTTTCCTATGTTTGTTAACACTCATGATTTAATCCATTTCTCTACTAATTTAGTTTATGCAGAGAAGATGGATCATCTCAGCAAATTACCTGACGATGTTCTTTGTCATATTTTGTCTTTCCTTGCGACAAAGGAGGCTGCTTCAACATCTGTTCTCTCTACAAGGTGGCGCAATCTGGTTGCGTATGTACCAAATCTTGATCTACATGATTATATCTTTTTGCATGACGAAGAAGGTAAGCGGGAAAGGGAAGGAGTTCTTGAGAGCTTCATGGATTTTGGGGATAGGGTTTTGGTCTTGCAGGGTGATTCTACCCTCAAAAAGTTCTCCCTAAAGTGTCTACCTGGTGTTGATTCAGACCGTGTGAATCGTTGGATACGTAATGCTCTGCAGCGTGGTGTTTCAGAACTTAGACTGTACATTGAGTTTGATATTGAACATCGGCTACCTGCTGAGATCTTCAGCAGTAAGACACTTGTTAGGCTGAAAGTAACAAATGGACTTAATGTTGATTTGCATGTCTTGGGTGTTTCCTTACCCATGCTTAAAACTCTCCTTCTTCGCTACGTCGCTCTGTTTTCTAGTCAGTTTGAGATGCTTATTTGCGGTTGCCCTGCGCTTGAGACATTAGACATCAAAAGTGTTGAGTGGGGAAATTCCAGTGTAACTGTGTCAAGTGCAAGCCTCAAGACGCTAATTATTCACTCCCGTGGTCGTCGTGCTTCTGCCTCGACATTACATCCAAGTAGCATTTCTTTTGATACTCCAAATCTGGTTTCCTTCACCTATACTGATCTTGCTGCGGAGGACTATCCAAAAGTTAACTTGGCAAACGTAGTTGAGGCTAATATCGACCTTCAGTTAACTGATGATCTGGATGAGCGGGCAAGAGCGCCAAACATTGATGGTGAGGGTGATGGTTATCTCAAGAGGTTTGGTAATGTGTGGAAGCTCTTTACTGGAATGAAAAATGTTCGGGAACTTCACTTATCCTCTGACACTTTCGAGGTTAGTTGCCAATTCCCATTTTGCTCTCTTGGTAGTAATTTCTTCTTTGACCTCATCTAAAAAGATTGAGATTCAAATTATCATGTTACTTCAATTCTAAATGTCTTGTGTTAAATGTTGTTTGAACGTTCTAGTCTCTTTGTTTCTTAAAGCTTGATATTGTGAAGAAAATACTGGAGCTTAATGTTTGTTTTGAATCAGGTCCTTTATATATGCCGTGCGTCAATACCGGTGTTCAACAACCTCAAAATTTTAAGTGCTTCCAGCTCATCTGATCGGGGAAGGCAACTAGTGCCGTATCTCCTAAGGAACTGTCCGAGTTTAGAAGATCTAACATATGTATCTATAAACACACTCACTCCTCAAATACATAAACCGAGACAGAAACCATTATTTGAGAGTCCCTAATTCTCTCCTTTTCTGCTTTCAGGATGGCTTGCACTTCAAGAAAGATAAATGCGAGGATTCCTGCAACTGCAAATCTCCGGAGGACGAAGGCCGTTCGCTCATATCTTGTCCGGTGAAGAAGCTCCAGATCACAGAGTTTATTGGAACATATGAACAGTTCAAGATAATAAAGCGTTTCTTGAAGGATTTCCCGTGTTTGACGGAGATAGAGATACATGCTAGAGAGGATGTTCTTATAGACGTCGAAGACTCCGTGGAGATTTTGAACTCGATAGCGAGATGCTCAAACTCTACGGCAAGCTTTACACTTGCCGTGTCAAATTGGTAGGTGGCTCCTTGTTTAAGAAGATGACTCGCTGAGTCTTCAAGGAAGGAAACTTAGCTCATAGTTTTATCAACATTTACTGCTTTTCGTCGGATAAATTTGCTTTCTTCTCTCTTAATCCGTTTGCCTTTCCCATATTTTGCTCATCATTAAGACTAAAGTACTCTATTTCAAAGTTAAAAAAAAAAACTTTTCTTTTCCCTTTTCTCGGTTATTTTTTCCTCATTTTTTACATTTATTTTGATCAGCTACAATAGTGTTGCATATTCAGACAGCCTTTCAATCGTCAAAACTATTTTATAGCGTGGTCAAGAGTTAAAAACACGTTCTTCAAAAAACATTCCCAAAATCTATGTTGAGATTAGACTGAAACTGGATGTAAGAGAGAAAAATAGAAATGTAATAGAACAATCTAAAACAGGTGAATCCTAAAGCAAAACGATATTACAACAGATATATGTTTCCACGTTCATGGCCACATTCCACAAAGTTTATTTTACAATACCAATTTATACACTTAATTCATGACAAGAAAAAGAGTAATAGAGTATCAAACTAAACACAAAACGGGTAACGTAATACACAAGTATATAGATTACAATTTTTTTTGACCTAAACATTGATTAATTAATAATCAGTTTAAAGCAGTAGATGACTGAGAATGAAAACACGCATGAATTTACAAAAGGCCAGATTCGTAAACGACACCTGTCGACGGCAACCACGAGTTCCCGCCAATGAAACCCGAAACGGTAAAACCTTGAGCTTCAGTCAACGTCAACGCCGGGTGATATCCGGCCCAATTAACCCGACCCGAAACCGATGACCCAGGACCCGAATTCCCGAATTCTCCGTAAAACAGAGACTTCAGAGCGAAACCACCCGACCAAGGAAACCAACCCGACGGATGAATCGAACCGTCCAAGAACGATTGCATCACAACGGTCCTCGAGTACTGTTTCCATGGCCGGCCCAAGTAAGTCTTGGTCGAACCGGTGATTCTGCAGTTGTGGATCGAAATCCCGGTGTTCTGGTTCGGGTCGGAGCGTCCTTGCGCCGTCACGTAGTTCTGATCCGAGGAGCCTTTCCGGGATGCCATGTTGCAGCTCTGGAAAACGACGGCTGCGTTTCCGAAGATGAAATCTACGGTGCCGTAAATGTCGGTTTCTCGATAGAATTGGCGTTTGGAGAGAGTGTAGAGTGTGTCTTGGTACCCGTCGAGTGAGCATCGGTATACCACCGATCTGTCTGACCCGACCCGTAATGCTACCGCTTGCTCTGCGTTTGGTCCCGCGCTGTTCACTATTGTTATGTCCCGAGCTATAAATCCGTCTCCCATGGCGGCTTCAATTAATTCAAAACAACAACAAAAAGCTAATTTTAGCAACAGTAAAGGTTAGAGAAATAATTTTTTTTTTGACAAGATTGTAACCTTAAAATAAAGTGGTAAAACATAAAACTTTAGAGAAGATAGTAAAAATATTCTAATGAGATAAGAAAATAACTACAAATGTGCATCGATCTTGATGAACAGGTCAAATTTAACTAAGAAATAGATAAACAGCCTATACCAAGCGGACACAACTTGGAAAAAATAACTAAATTATGTGATTGATTTATGATTAAATTTTAATGAAAATCTCACCGACAGTAGCAGTTTGGTAAGTATTGTAGCCACCTCTGTTACTTTTGCTACCGACAATAACTGTTTTGCCCTTTCCGTCACCAACCAACATAACGTTCTTCTGTTTGGTCGGAATGTTTAGGTTCTCTTTATAGGTTCCGGCTGTTAAGTGAATTACGCTTCTGCCACTCCCCTCCGCCAAAGACGCCAACGCTTCCGCTACACTCCTGTGGGTCCCGCTTCCGTCGGCAGCCACCACCGCGTGAGGTCTCAGCTCCTGGACCGAAGCTTCTAGAAGCTTCCGGTCCGACGAAGAAACCCACGTCGGAAAATCTTGATCCGACAACAGTTTCCGGCCACCAATTACACTAGACGAAGAAGAACGTTTCTGCTTAGAAGACACGAACATGTCTAGTGAAGTGGTCAGTAAGCCGGTGAGGTTTCTTGCAATGGAATCCATCGTGATCCCATCTTTATTGAAGCTAGATTTCTCACTAAGGCTTTGCTTACAAGTCTCTTGATTAGTCAACGCGGCGCTCAGCCACGTATGGACATCATCATTGACGTGATCGTTACGCTTGTTGACGATACGTGACAACATGTCAAGTGTGTCGTCAAGCAGCTCAAGACAGTCGTTCATAGGATCCAGCATGAGGGTTTGAGAGGTGCGGTGCGAAAGCGTGAGATTGAAGGCGAGAGAGTGAGCTAAGAGAGCGTGGTCCAAGCTGCGTTGGACCGAATTAAGAAACCCATCGTTGGAAGAAGTTGAGTGTTTGGTTCTTCTTGATGATGACTCGGAGTTTGGGTGTCTTGTGAATTTTGTGAATTTTGAGTTTGATGAATTGGCAAACACTAAAGTATGAAGGATTAAAATCAGGGAGAACAATAGTTTGATGCGGAACTTATGATTTGGTAACAAGGACGATGTAGTTGCCATGTTGTGACTTATATGTGCAACTTTGATGGTTTGTGTAATATAGTAGGGAAGAAGTGTTATGTGCTTGCTACATCATCATGTATTTATAGACATTGTTTCATAACAAACGAGTACTAGGTGTACTAAGAGCCTTTTGAAGAGACCAGTTTGATAAATTCAAGTTCCAACGGTTGGTTAGGGACTTTTTAATATATTATCCCGTTTTGATAAATGCTGGCTTAGAAGAATTATGAGTGGAAACTATTCGATTAAGAAAAATAAAAAAGGTAATGAGCCACATTGTATGTGGACAAGATTTCCTATAATATGTCTCAAATCAATATTACTGTATTACATTTCTAAGAAAACGTAAAAATGATCCCCTAATTTTAGTTAAAACGATCGTTAGATTACATGATCGCTATAACATACATACATGTTTTCGACAAAAAAAAAGAAAATATATACGTTTTGCTGAAATGTTTTCTCTTTTCTTAAAACAATTAATAATTAGAGTTACGCAGTGCAAAAAGTGAATCTAATAATTTTACTTGTGGTTTGAAGTTTTAAAGCATCAGTGAAAATAAGATTTTATGTAATATTTTTTCGTATATTGAGAATAGTACATATGATAAGTTTGTAAAATCTTACATAAAATCGAGAACTTGTCGAAAACATATATGTATGTTATAGCGATCATATAATCTAATAACGATCGTTTAAAGGGTGTAATCAAGAATAGTACATATGGTCCATAGACACTAATATTTTTTTTCTAAAATGTAGGGTTCGTATTTAAATTATTAGTACCTATGGACCATATCATAATTAAGGTGGATTTAAATATGGTAATATTTGTGAATGAGTTGTAGTCGGAAAAAATAAACATAATTACTATTGCTTAATCTGTTTAGATTTTATTTAATAGTTTGAAAACGGTACTATATAAATGTGTATCGAAATAGAAATTTTACATAAACCTATAAAACAATAAATCCAATTGTGTACCTTATTTCCATATAAGACAGCCACCATCCCTTCCTGTCTGGTAATAATTGATGGCTTTCTGAAAGGTTGATTTGTTTTGTTTCTTAACATTAATTGGTTTACGTTGATTCATTATCTCATTCTGTTGTTCGTGACAAATTACAAATAGCTGCTTATCAACAACAAAAATTGACTTGTGATTTTATTTAAAAGTAAACATAATATTTGTCATCTAAACAAACCTAATATGTAATTTGCATTTCTATTTTTGTTGCGTCACGACATATATAACTTCGTACTTTCGTAGTACCAAATTAAATGAACAAAAACTGAATTTTTTATTCCTGCTGAAATTAACGACTAGCTGAATTGCTGATGCAAGAAACAGTATAAGTCGCCTCGCCTATCATTATTGAGAAAATTAAGAAGAAATTGCATGATATCTGCATGGATAAATGATTCCACCTAACGTCTAAGGCGGCACATGGCAAAATAAATTTAGAATTAATGAGATGGATATCTTATGTCGAAGCTCTCTTAGATATTTGAATATTTAATGGCGCGACGCACGTCACTCGTCGTCGTCACTGCTCCTCACCAATTTGGACCCGCCGGGAACAAATTAAAGCCGCAACTAAATTTCAATTATTCAAAAAGAACTTGTCGTTCTCATTTAGTGAACATAATTTGGTAGTTTGGAATTTGTATTATAATCATAACTAACATGATTAGTTTAGAAATCGCGTCAAAGAACTTAATTCACAGTAAAATAGTATGGTTTAGAGTTTTGTCCATCTTACAGTAGTAACGAATAGAGAAATATACGTTGAAGGAATATCATATATCTAGCTCAGAGTGATGAAAAAAGAAAAGGCAACCAGAAAAAAACTTATGGTGAAAATTTACAATGACAATAGATTAAATTTCTAAAACACTCGTAAGATAAAGGGATATATCTCTAAACAGTGGCGAATGTACGTTGAGCGATACGGTGTCAACTGACACCGTATGATTACAATTTTTTTTAATAGTTTATTAAGGTTTAATAATATTGACACCGTGTTAAAATTATAATTGAACCCATAAATTATTTCTCTTCCCAACATTATCTTATTTATTTTGAACCCATAAACAAATTTTAAATATTATCCCATATTTTATTGTTGGGCTTTCATGTTAACATATTTTAAATGACCCAAAATTAAATTTTAGTTTAATTTTAACTACTAAACATAGTATTGAAAATATAAAAACAATCCTTCTTTGTGAAACCTAAAACTAAACGTGGCTTCTCTAGTTCTCTTCATCTCTCCCACCAAAATCCTGCTACAAAACTCTGCTCATCTTCCTAAATTGCTAATCCTCTTCCATTTAAAACTGAGCAATATCAGTTAAGTTAAATCTGATATAGTTCTTAACTTCTTATCTTGTTTTCCAATTTATTCATTTGCGTCTGTATATATATTATTTATGTTTGATTAATCTCTCATTTTCTGTATCATCGCAGGAGGCTTTTATAATATAAAAAAATGATTTTTTTTTTCTTTTTTTTTTTTGTATTTTCATTGAACCCGGTTAGAAAAATTCCTAGATTCGCCACTGTCTCTAAACTAGAAGATTGGGTTGAATAAAAGAGTCTTAATAATGTTCTGAAAATGTGTCCCAAAACAATTGCATACTATTCCGAGAGTAGGGCAAAGTTGTATAGATATTTCAGAGATGCTTAATAAATGAACCTACAGCGATTAGGAAGAAACCAATATGATTACACAACTAAAACTTAACTTACATTCCTATAAACTGTTACTATCTGGGAAGAGTAATAACATAGGCTGGTTGCATATATCATATATGAATGCTATATTAGAGTCGAATTATTGGTTTTGAAAAAAAATGCTTAAAGCCTCTATTCTTTAGGCAATGTTTGAAATGCTTACTTTTGAAAGAAAAAAAAATGTAATGCTTTAATAGTTTTCACGGAGACAGAAGTAGGACAAACTAAACAAAATTCGAAGTAACGCAAAACGGACGGAACATAGTGGGTCGGTTAGCAAAGGTGGCCAGTATCAATTTCATTCCTTAGATTGTTAGTACGACCAAAACAATAGGAGATTTATTTCCATCTATCTTTCATGCATGTGAGAATAAAGAAAACATATTCCGTTCATATTTATTGAAATATAGACACACACGTACATACAAAAGAAAAAATAAATAGATGAGGAAGATTAGCCAAACTAAGAAGTCTCTACAACTTGGGCCATGAAGATGTCTTTGTCTCTGAGTTGAAATCTGAGCTGGAAAACATGCATGCCACGAAAGACTCGACATCTATCATCGATTTATTGAAATCATTTTTTTACAGTATTCAAATCATTTTATTTCTTATATTGGATCACCATCAGTGATCGATTTTTTTTTCCAACTATATATCGCAACTTTAGTCCATAAAATTCAAGATTAAACTCAATATCGTTCCGGAAAATCCTAGCATTAAGCAAAACCGCAGGAACGAGTTAATAATGCACCCCACTCTGTATAATCCACGAGTCATCGCACAAGAAAAGTGAGAGTTACATTGAGAACGTAAAAATGGACCCATTATTAAGACGATGGTTGTATAACGAATTGAAGCCAAGGAATTGACTGGTTTTGGAGCTACTTGTTGACTTCACCTCTTCTAAACCAATCTTAATACTTTCTATAAGTCAATAGTTAGAAAGTGAAAAGAAACAACACACAAATACTATTTCTACAGTATTCTTCCCTCATTTGGTATTCATGAATAAACCATCTACACATGAACTCGGTTTTAATAATTAATCCCACTGATATTGTATTCGTGTAGATATTCATATTCAACATAAATCTTTCCTTCGAAGTTGAAATGATTCAACACTAATATAAAAAGTATATGAACAACCCTACTCACTATCAATTAGTTTCAAGTATATAGGAAGGTATCTCACTAAACTGACGTTATCAAAAACAAGTATATATATATATATATATATATATATATATATATATATATAACATATATGATATATGTGGTTGAAAAGGATAAGACGAGATTATCGTATGTATTAATATATATTAGAAGAACTAACTATACAATTTCCGATTGTGGGTCTGTGGCAAATCAATCGACAACTTACAATTTATAATCTTTTCGCCAAAAAGGCCAAAGATAACGAAAAGGATAGTCTATCAGTATTTTGATAGAATGTCAATTACTATTATCCTTGCTCTTATTTAATTAACAAATATTGGACTACTTTTTATAAGTGGCTCTGAAATAAACAGCCTTATTGGTCAATTGGTTTTAGATTTAACGTGGTTCATTAATTAGCATCTCAGGCTCACATTCAGGCTGTCGTAATAACATTTATTTCGCATAGTAAAAGAAAATAAAACCGTGATCTTGTACGAGTTATGGACTTAAGATCTTTGATAAGAGAAAATGACGAAAGAGTCAATGTCTTGAAAGCAGAAGTTTGAAATGTTACGGCAGAGTTCCAACCTTGATAGTTGGGATAGGGTTTTGGTTTTTGTGTTATGAGCACTTCGGTCCCATATTGGTTTAATTGCTGTCTGCTGGTGTAGAAAATATGTTTGATTAATCAATCTTCAGAAACCGTTACTACTTACTACTGGAACAAAATAAAAATCACTCCAACTCGACTCAAACATAGCGTCATACGCATATACGAATCTTAATAAACTAATCCAAGTTTTTGTAAAGTTTACGTAAACCAATTGAGTTAACTGCAAAATGTTTCAATCATTTTCATGGAACACAGGTCGTATATTCTTTATCTATTAACCTCGTAATGATAACAAGCCTGTCGGTCTCTTCGAATTATTATCGATTATAAAGTTGAAGTTTAGTTATCAAAATAATAAATTAGAAAAATGCTTAAGAAAACTAATGCAGACTAATGAATTCGATACAGGGATTGAAACTGATTGATTTAACACGTTTGCAGAAAAGCATGAAAATGAAGGGTTTCGAAGTGTCATTGGCACCTAAC